CCCGCAATTATAGAATATGATATTAATGAGCTTCAGGCTTAGAACCCAAATCCAAAGTTTGGCCCATCTGAGAGAGGTGTGACCTTTGATCCAGACTTAGGACCCAGGCCCTCTTTAAACCATGATTCTACCTTCAGATGTATGCACCAAACTACTGCCTCCCTACAAGAACACACTTCACTGGGGCCCTGGGCAGGTACAAAGATCCGCCTATTCAGATCTGTTTCCACAAGTGGACCCTTAGTTCTTACACTTCTGAGTTCTTCAAATTAACATGGCTGAATTAAGATTCTACTTTCTTTCGTCCAGTATCTAACAATCACATTCAGACTGCCAAAAACCTAGTTTATACATGTCAAAAAAAAAAAAGTTAAATGGTAACTACAGCAAAACTATGATTTTTCACTGGTTTGAGTTCCTTAGAACTGCAAAACTGGAGATTTACAAACTAACCAGAGGTTTATACAGCTGTAGTAAGCAGCTGGGCCAGACTACAGTACAAGGAGATAATTTGCTTAATTAGTTGTATGAGAAATCCTTAATGAACTTAAAGATTCTAGGATATATACCTATTGAGTTGTAAGACTCCTAAGATATCAGAGAAGATGATTTGAACATTAGCATGACTCAGGATGGCTTGATTTGAAGCTAGTGCTGCTTTCAGTGGAGTAGAATAAACATCCCTCGCAATTTCTAGCATTTGCACATAGTTTCTCTCACTTCTCAGGAGCTCTCTGGCAAGTCTTGTTCGTTGGTCATCAGAGTCCTTTAGATGTCTCTTACCCTACCACCAAAATATGGAGAGTAGGTTAGTGGCACTTACCTTGAAAACTTGGAGCTATTAGAGTTTCAGAAAAAAATATTGAAGAAACAGACCAGAAAACTTACCTGCATCACTAAAAATAGGGCCTAAGGATATTAACATATCCCACAAGAAAAACTATTGGAAGTTCCTTTTCCAACTGCACATGTTCAGAATTCAACATGCACAAGCATGAAACCTTCACACCTGAACCATCACCCTTAAAGCTACAAATGTACACATATAGCTACATCTTCAAACAGTCTTGCTATTTCCTCGCACCTCCCCCAATCCTGAATAGGGCCATCCTGGGTGGGGAGTCAGGAAAATACCCTTCTGCAGTCGCTGCTGTTTAAAACTATATCCTGTCTGAACTACAGGCTGAACACACTTTCACACAGGTTTTCAAATGCAGTTCAAACTGGTTTAAGGGGGAGCATATGTTTGAATGTGGACCAGGCAGTGTGTACACTACGTTTTCCCCACCTCATTTTAATGACAGCCCAGTATACCACCTGGATCGACGTTCCCTTTTCATTCAGGTGGAGCTTAGGAGAGAAATCTTGGTCCTACAAAGTCAATGAGAGTATTGTCATTGACTTCAGAAGTAGAATTACATGTTACAGCTGATTTGGGAATTCAAACCCAGACCACATGCTTTGACTACAGCACCACCTTGAGGGTCACGAGCAGAACAGAGATCCTTGTTGTGTCTAAATGTCATGATAGAAAATTCTGTTCTCCTTTCCCCCTGGTTTTTGTCTACAAGTACAGTAATTCTCTCTTGACAACAGAGTAAACTCAAGACTAAGATTTAACTCAGAGGGAAAGGATTACACACATCACCAAAACAGTAATATGAAGTGCTACATCCAGTTCTGAGATCTGCTTGCAAATTATATTCCAACAAAATCATAGGTTTCTAAACCTCTGCCTAGCAAAAAAATAATATATTTTAATACCTGAAACATCACTTTCTTAGTTTTGTTCACTTTGCTCAAATTTCCCATAGGAAAAAAACATTAAAAAAACAACCCCCCCAACCTACTGCTAAAAATGTACGTCAAATATACTAAGATATTTAACTACTATCAGAGTTGATTGTCTTATAACCTAAACCAATACTTTAAATTTTAACTCCTTTTCTTTGGCCTAAGGGCTTAGTCTCTTTTGCACCATCTTCCTGATTATTATATGGGAATCTTTTTAGAACAAAATTTGAATAATTTCCATTCTTCTCTATTCCACTCAGAAGACTGATTTTTATATATATATAATAATACTGTAGAATTAGTACAGTATTAGTAATTAGCTATAGTAGCATTATTTATTACATTTACATTGTCAACACTATTTATTTGAGGGTTACTTATCTGCTCCAGAGAAGAATGATCCCCAAACAAAAATTGACTCTGTTCTTGTAGTCTCATAAGCATTCTGAAATGTAGAATAATCTTGTTGAAATCAATAGGATTACTTACTTTAAATTAGGCAGATGTATAGATCTTTGCAGGATCACTACATAGGGTGACCCATATGCTGGGATCCTGTGATCCCAGCTGACTTCCTGCCCCTGGGGCAGGAGGCTGGACTCAATGATCTTCTGAGGTCCCTTCCAGCTCTAATATCTATGAATATAGAACTACAAAAGTGTCAGCAAAACCATTTAACAACCCAGTGTTGCAGTAGGTGTTCACAAGCCCTGGTGTTCTGACCTTGTTCTATGGTAGGACTTGGTTGTAGTGGGAGTTCACTTGCAACGGTTACAAATCATTGCAACGTTGTGACAATGTTAGTAAATGTCAGGAGACATATGACCTGATACTGTAATCTCAAAATAATCCTCACCTGAAAGGGAGAAACTTTGTAATGCCAGGATGTCACTTAACACATGCTCTAAGGTGCATTTGCTTGTGTTTTAATAGCACTCAGCAAGTGCTGTTTGCATATACTATGTGTTGACCCAGATTCTGCCTGTTTCCAGTAGCCTTTTAAAAATCATAGAATGATAGAAAATTGGAGTTGGAAGTCATCTAGTCTAGTGGTTCTCAACCTTTTTTGTACCAGGACACATTTGTAAACATTGATGGCCAGTCCTGACCCAGTAAATAGTTTAAGTAGAAAACAGCTGCCTGGCCCAGCCAGTGCCCCTTGTTCCTAACCCTCTGCCCCTTGTCTCCAGCCCCACAGTATGTGGGATGAGGGGGTCCCAAGTAGCCCCTTGTAAGCTGGAACTGTACCAGCCTGCAAGGCAAAACCCACAGCTTCCCCCTTTTTTTCTCTTTTAATTTAAAAGTGGATTCTCTTTTATGTTCACAATCCTTTCATATATTCTTCTGATCCACTTTTAGGTCATGACCCATGGGCTGAGAAACACTGATCTAGCCAACCTTCTGCTTGAAGCAGGACCACCCCCAACTAGATAATCCCAAGCAAGGCTTTGTCTAGCCAGGTCTTAACCTTCAAGGATGGAGAGTCCACAACTTCTCTGGGTAGCCTTTTCCAATATTTTACTACCCTCCTAATGAGAAAGTTATTCCTAATATCTAACCTAAACTTCCCTTGCTGCAACTTGAGACCATTGCACCTTATTCTGTCATCTGCCACCACTGAAAACAGTCCAGCTCCATCCTCTTTCAAACCCCACTTCAGGTAGTTGAAGTTTGCTATTAAATCCCCTCTAGGTCTTCTCTTCTGTAAACTAAATGGGCACTTACACACATGCAGGGAGCCTGCTTTGATATGCTGGAAATCCAGTGTGTCAGAGCAGACACAATTAATCGAGTCTGCTTGAGCACATAAATAGATGCACTCTGGCAGCCTTGCACATCACATACCAGCAGCGCAGCATGTCTCTGCTCTGAGAAAATGGCAGTGATGCTCTTGGAAATAAAACACGTTTGATGTGCTTTAGTTCAAAGTGCACCGCTGCCATTTTTCAGCACGGGGACACGCTGCGCTGCTGATACATGCAACATACAGGCACTTTTAACTAGCACAGCTCTCTAATTAAAAGCACCTGGCGCCATATTGGGAACACATGTAAAAATGCCCATCGAGCCCGGTTGCCTCAGCCTTTCCTCATAAGTCATATCCCCCAGCCCCCTCACCATCTTCACTGCCCTCCACTGGGCTCTCTCCAATTTGTCCACATCCTTTCTGCAGTGGGGGCCCAAAACTGAACATAGTATTCCAGATGTGACCTCGCTAGTGCTGAATAGAAAGGAATAATCACTTCCCTTGATCTGTAACGCTCCTATCAATGCAGCCTAATGTGTTGTTAGCCTTCTTGGCAGCAAGGGCACACTGTTGGCTCATATTCAGCTTCTTGTCCGCTGTAACCTCCCAGGTTCTTTTCTGCAGAGCTGCTGCCGAGCCAGTCAGCCCCCAGCCTTTACCGGTGCATGGGATTGTTCCATCCTAAGTGCAGGACTTTGCACTTGTCCTTGTTGAACTTCATGAGATTTCTTTTGGCCCAGTCCTCCAATTTGCCTAGGTCTCTCTGAATCCTAACCCTCAGCTTAGTGTAATCTGCAAACTTGCTGGGGGTGCACCCTATGCCAAATCTCTTATATTTTACTGCATATTTATTTTTACTGTGCTCAAAATGCTACCAGATAAAAATATCCGTAACTTCAATTTTGATAGAAGGCGAGAGAGGGTGGCATCTTCAAGACAAACTCATTCAGAAAGGCATAAGCTTTCATAGGCATTAGTTTTCCTACTTCTTCAGATGCTGTTATGTACTCTTGATACTTCAGTATGCTAGAAGGCACCTGAAGTAGTAAGTCTGTAGTCTATGAAAGTTTATGCCTTTCTGAATGTTAAGTCTTTCAGCTGTCACCCTTCTGGCTGACTTCAGAGTAACACAGCTAACTACCTTTTGTTAAATGCTGATGTTAGCAAAAACAGCTTTGAAAAGAGGAAATGTAGTGATATTTACAATGTTTACTTGTTTTGCAAGATTTTTAAAGCAATATAAAAATTGCTCTCCTTTTACTTTTTAAACAATTAATTGGACTCCCAGGCAGGCCAGAAAGGGAGATATGTGGGGCAAGGAAGAAGCAAACAAGCTAGAGCGAGTGCGGATTAATGAGATGCCTGCTGCTCTGGAAGGTACTAAGCCTTTAGTCTCATTTCCAATGGGGCAGAAACTTCTCCTCTGTTCTCAATCCATTGTATCCAATAGCTATTAAATGCAAGGTGCAGAGACTTCGTTTTAAAAGGAAGACTGGAGAGGCACCTGTAGGTTCAAGTCCCATTTGGGTGGGAGTGGCCTAAAACCTGGGTCTTCCACTGTCTACGTGAGTGCCTTAAAACATTAGGCTAAAACATGGGGTGGCTGTCCCCTTCTTCCAAATCCATGTAAGTCATGGATTTTTACCTGGCTATAGTTTCAGACCTGGGTATATGTGAATGGTGCCATGTAGTTGCCTGCCCAAAGTGTGCATGGGTGCTTGCATGTACTGCACGTGCAATAGAATCACAAACTGAATATAACTACTTTTGGGGCAAGTTAAGTTCAATAGGATTCTGCCCCAGGTGTCTAACTTCTGCCTGACAAGTTCTAGCAAATTTGACAAGCAAATTTGTCTCCCACTGCTCTCTCTCTTCTTCAAAGAGTCCAAGGGGTCTCCTTTTCTCTCATCTGGTTCACAGAGAGATTAGGCACTACTTCAAACTGAGCAGTAGATTTCCAGTGCAGACAAATGCCCCTTAGAGACTAGAATGAGATCACAAAATGTATATGTATTTGATATAAAACAGAAACGGAAGCCTACATCTTCAGAAATGAAAGGTAGCTGCATTAATCCATAGTACAAGCTAGCCTCCAGCTAGTAAACCATACTGAAAGAGGTCACTGTACCTAATGTATTCACCAGGCCTTGTTTGCAAGTCACATTTTGTCAAGATAATCTGTATTCTGAACATTTTGTATAGTATTTCCTCAGTGTGAAAATATCTTTGGAACTGTTTTTTTTTTTTTTTTTTTTTTTTACATAAACAAAAGTAAAACTAAGATGATCATTATCCAAGACCAAGGGAGCACGAGTAAAACTAAACTGGGTTACGCATGAGGGCTTTTGTTTTTGATTTGGTTTTTTTTCCAAGGTGCTGTGTTCAGTGACTGCATCCTTGTAAAAATAAATGTGTCCTCATAAATATGTATTTATATTGGTTCCAAAGCTTAGACTGGCTGGCAGTTAGGCCACTGTGGAGGGAAGGAGGAATTCTGAATTCAATCCTTATGCCAATAGAGGCTGACAATTTTGTAACTCTAAGCCTGACAGATAAACGGGAGAAAAAGTGGGATTGTAGTTATGTTGATTAATCGTGTGGACTCCCCTTGATAGAACTTATTGCTTCCATGCAGATGAGAAATCCTACCATATTGCTTGCTTGCATAGATTTAAAAGCTGTAGATAAGATTTTATTAACTTGCGCTTCTCAGAATTTTAAAAATTGAAATTGGTAAAGCAAGCTGAAATGTTGAGTTATAACAAGAACTGTTCAAATTTTCTTTGGCAAAAATTTCACTTTTTTTTACCATTCTCTGGTTAAAATTAATCACTGTTTCTTTTTCATTGAAACTTCAAAAACTGAACATTTTGAACTACTTTTCAGATGAAAACACAAATATAGCACACTTTATTTTTCTGTCAATTAAAAAGTTGTCAACATTTTGAAAAACATCCATCAGCTCCAAGAGGACCTCATTTGTTAATAATTATATTCAAGTTTGTTATCTGAATATAGTAAAAACCAGACCTTAAATCAGACCTGTCCGCAGACAATTTCTTCAATTAACAAAGTGTTCTCAAGTCCCTCAAAAAACAGCTGAAAAGAGCTGATAGGAATAATTTTGGTTTCAAACTTTAGGTCATGAAATATTGCCAGTTTGCACTTCACTAACATTCAAGATGCAAGCATGCATTTATCCCAATAACATTATCATCAACATTATTATAGAGACCTGTGCCAAAGATTGGCAAAATGTTTAATATTCTATTTGATGTAAACATATTTGATTTAACCTTCTTTGCCTCAGCTCCTGAGTACTGCAGAAGACTATTTTCCTCATAAAATAGTTTAATTTCTTCACATGAAACAAAGCTAAAGATTCTTTTAATGGGAATCCAGTACCCTCCTGTATAATGTGTTTTCTGTCTCTATGTATTAATCAACATGCATTCCAGTCCTTCAAGAATTTTGATCACAATACTTGCTGTGATCACTAAGCTTGATCACTAAGCTTGCTGTGGATGGGCCGAATGACTAGAGAAGCTTGTGAAACAGCAGCAGGCAATCCATGCAAGTAGTTTTTGCATTCAGCATCTGCTCTTAGAGGACATATTGCTAACTGGGACTTGAAACCAGAAAGAAAAAGGATATGACCTGACATTAGAGCAAAGGAGAGTTACATATCTATGTATTTATAAGCTGGCACAGTATTTCTTTGTAAAGTGAAAACAGCATTAGATAAATATTCATAAACCCTTGCACAATAGTCATTAAAAGCTTAACAATTTTACTTACGTAGCTTCTTTTTGACAGTTCGGTTAAGCCATCAGCTGTGGTCTGGGCTACTTCGTGATCAGTGCTTATTCTGCCTGTGCTAATGGCATCAAACATAAAGTGGCCTGAATACAGAAGATCAAGAATTATGCAAGTCACAATGGATGTGATAAACTTTCCACCTTTGTGGAAACTGTTCACCATAGTCATTATATTCTAGTGAGGGGTATTTTGGGGATTCACAACAACTGCCAGCCCTTCAAACTCAACTGGAGACCAAAGTCTAGTGGAGACATTTCCTTAGGATTGTTTTGAAATAGAGACCTCAGCACTACATCCACTTTGGAAGTTTTCTACAGAAAGGTTTCTATTGCTGACATGTGAAAGGTGGCTTTTTGGAGCTCTTCACAGTCTTTGAACCAACACTATTTAAGTATAGATGTTAGGTTAGAAAACTTTGAGAGAAGTTTTGTAGGCTCATTTTAGATGAGCTCTCTGGCTCCTGAGAATTACAACTGGGATTTTACGGTGTGCCAGTACTCAGTGGTGTAACTAGGACGAGGCCAAGGAGACAACTACCCCAGGTGCCTATTTGGGAGGCAAAAAAAGTCAGCTGCTACCAGCAAATGTGCAATCTCAATTCCAGAAGTTGCTGGTGACCCTGTGCCCTGGGTGCCCAGCTGCATCCCTGCCTCTCTGTCTTGGTACCAGGACTGTAACTGCAATAACAGAGGGCACTGCCCAGGATAATTTTGTCCCCAACCTAATATGGCTGTTGTCTGCACAGTTCTGTGTATACGTCATCTAACTGCAGCACAGTACATTTATTCATATAGAAAGGGCCCTGAGCTAGCCAAACTGCATGTGATGGTTCCTAATCTGAGAATTTTAGGCTGAAAACCCAGATTACTACCAAGCAAGCTAGCATACTAAACAATATAGTTTATTTTTTAGCACTATCATTTTTATGATTGTGCAGGTCAAAAATCTCTCTCCCCCATGCATTTGCTCTTTTGTGTAAGTTGATGTATGGATACACTGGAAATATTAATTTTATTATAGGTAATATTTAATAGCCATCTTGTGCTGTACAGAAGATTATTCTTGCCAAGCTAATAAACATACATGTGATGTATGGGTGGGAAGTGGCAATCAAATTCAAAATATGACAGTTCCATGAACTGTGTTTCTTGTTGCATGTTCTTGTGCTTTTTGAGTGTATCCTAGTTTTATATCTATTACAAAATGGCAGTGAGAAGTCTTACCAATAAGCCTGTCACTAATGTTCCTCTGCAGCTCTCTGAAATACGGTCTCATTTGCTTGCGGATGGGTTTCATTGCATCCTCCACGAGCTCTGTCAGTCTGAGCCACATCTGTAGTTTTACTTCAGTGAAGTAAATGGAAGTAGGAGGTCCATCCTTCTGCTCTCCTAGCCATTCACTAAGAACTGAGGATATGATTATGCTGAGGGGTCATTGAATCTGGTGGAGGTAACCATTACTCTTCCATCCATATGAATATAAGACATATGCAAGCCCCTTTATGATAACAGGTAGCCATAATGGGATCAACACTCAAAACACAGGTGCATTGAGAAGGCTTGAGCGGAAGCTGAACCATATTGCCCTAATCCCAAATTCCAAGGATTTCCCTAGAATTTGATATCAAATGCTGTGGGTGGGGCACAGGTCAGATTTATTTGTCTGTTTGGATAAGCAGCAGAAGCAAAGACGAACAAAGAGAAACAGTAAAATCAGAGAAGCACTGGCAGCACGACTGAGAAGAAAGCTAAGTGAGAGCATTTATATGTGAGCAAAGAGACTCTCAGTCTGCTGCTGTTTGATTGCTATTGTGCCCAGGGAAATGGAACTAAATACATTATTTATAAATGCACAAAAGGACTTCAAAGAAGTACTTAACTCCACCCCCACCACCTCCTCTTAGTGGGACCCACTAGACTCCAAAAGTTGGGTAGCTGCTCAGGTCAAACTGCGGGAACAGTGTCACAACAAGTTAATGCTCTTTTCTAGTTCATGCAGTGGTAAATATCAGACAGGTTTTGGAAAATTCAGACTTCTGCTTGTGTAACAATTCATTTCACTTAACCCTATAGTAGAGCCTATGACACCATTTCAACAGGAGACTGGTTGAGTTTCAAACGCTTAGTCTGAAGATCACATTGAGCATAGACTTGTACTCCACTAAGACAGAATAGTAAATACATTCCCTTTTGGAACTAATGGATGCAACCAGAGGTGACCTGAGCAGGGTGCGGGGCCTGGGGCAAATCAGCCTGTGCAGGGCTCTGCCCCCGGATGCGAGGAAGCCGGCGGCAGATTCAGTGGCGGAGGGGCTGAGAGGCTGGACGTGAAGCGGGCAGCAGCATGGAGTCTCCGCGGCTGCTCCACCCAGCTCTGCGGGGCCCCACAAAGTGCAGGTCCTGGGGCGGTCACCCCGATTTGTCCCCCGCCCCCGGGATAGCCCTAGATGTAACTATGTTTTATTCAGGAACTGACACTATTTTTAATTACATTTTAACATGCATCAGGCACTGCATGCAAAATACAGAGACCCAAGTGGCTGAATTTATACATGGGTGGAGCAGACTACTTTCTCCTCCATTTTTTCCTGTCTGAACAGGGATCCTGGTTTTCTCTGATTTAAAAAAATCCTCAATTTTTGATTAAAAAAAGTAACTCTGAATCCACACTGTCCTGTGCTTTAAACGAAATGCTTTAATATATATAGTGGTCTTTCATTTTAATCATGGAAACATATGGACTTGGGGTTACTTTTTTTTAACTGAAAATTGGGGATTTTTTTACATCAGAGAAAACCTGCTGATCAAAATATACTGGAAGACTATTTGGTCTACCACACCTTCATCATGCTAAATTGACATTTAAGCAAATAGCACTACATCAAAAAGGAATTTACCCAATATGGGATATTAAAATTATTGTAGAGGTAGTAAAAGAGAATAGCTTTAAGCCTACATATTTTGTAAATGTAGAGGATCACTCTAGGTATTTAATAAACGTATTGAGCTATTTAAAACTGATCAACCTACAAATTTACAACTCCCTCTCTATCGTATATTGATTTTCAGCCCTCATGTTACAAAAGTAGAATTAGACTAATTTTTTCTTTGTTTTTTTTCATAAACTAATACTTAAATTATTTATTGGAAAAACAAGTTTCTCTCTAATGTAATTAACGTTTTCAAAAAATAGTTTAACTGAAGTTCTACATGGAAAGAAGCCTATACAGTTTCCTTTACAAAGTTATGTAATAACTTTCTGTACTTACTGTGCTGGTAGGATCCAGTTGCTATTCCTGTAGGAGCTCTGAAGAACACACCAGTTAGATGAGACAGGTGGGAGAGGACTTCCATCCCTGTCTCTGCAAAGTTATAATTTTGCTTGCTTTAGTTCAGGAAATAGTTATCTCCATCAGTAAAATATTTCAGCCAACAGAATCCACTAGCCATTTCCTTTTTCTCCACACTACTATTAATGACATCAAAATGAATATTAGCTTTGTCCAGGGCTAGAGAATGAAAAAAGACACAACATCAGTGCTAAAACTGGTTAGAAAATGTTGGTTGTCTTCCCTGCAGACAGTCAGTAGTTCTCCCCCATAACATAACTGGTAGGCAGGAGGGGATTGGGCATCAGCCCCAGGCACCAATGTGGGGGGAGAGGGGTCCTGAAAGGACAGGCCCCCCTGGCAATCTGCCATGGAAGGAGAGAATCATGGAATCATGCAGGAGTAGGACTGAGAGGGACCTCCAAAGGTCATCTAGTCCAACCTCCTACCTGAGGCAGCATCATCCCCATCCAAACTATCATGTGCAAACCATAATCTAAACTCTACATAAGACTACAGTCAACCTGGGCACAACAAAGACCGCACCCTAACCTGCCATAGGTAAAGCAGGGGAGCTATGGCAGTCAATGTCCTGCTTCTATGAAATGTCAATATATGCTCAAGAGATCCCAGGTAGAGGACCACACCCCCTGCTACAGAGGAAGGCAAAAACCTTCCATCTGTACCAGTCTGACCATGGGGTAAAATTCCTTCCTGACCCCAAGTATGGTAATCAGTCTGACCCTGAGTGGAGGGGGCACAACCCTTGCCAGAAACCTGTGGCTTTGGTTCATTGGCACACCCCAAAGTCGCCTGAAGAAGGCTTAAAAACACCCTCACATGTAGCAGATCTACTATGGCGCCCAGATCCTTCTCCATAGCACTGCCATGCAGCCAGGTGTCACCCATTTTCTGATGGTATTTTTGCTGTTTCTTCCTGTGATGTAGCACCTTGCAGTTGTCCTCATTGAACTTTATCCTATTAGATTCAGCCCAGCTTTTCAATCTGTTGAGATCCTTCTGAATTGTGTTCTCATCTTCCGCCATGTTTGCAGTCCTTCCCAGTTTCGTGCCATCTGCAGACTTGCTCATGAAGCTTTCAATGCCAGCACCCAAATCATTAATAAACACACTGAAGGACACTGGGCCCAGGACAGACCCCAGTGGGACTCCACTCAAAACCTCCTGCCACTCTAACATGGATCTGTTAATAATTAATTAGCCATTGTTTGTGTCTATTGAGCCAGTTTTCTATTCACCTTGTAGTGGTTTTGTCCAGCCTACATTTCTCCAGTTTGTTTATGAGACGGTCACATGGGTCCTTGTCAAAAGCCTTGCTAAAGTCCAGATACACTATGTCCACAGCATTTCCTTCATCCACCCAAGTAGCTACTCTGTTAAAAAAAGGAGTCTATTCCACTGCCTTGCTATTCTAACAGCTAAGAAGGTCTGGAAGGAAAGTCCTGTACTGCCCAGTTGTAAGAGCTGGGTGCAGGTGCACCCTAGACAGGTAACACCCTCTTCCCTCCCTGCCAGCTCTCCAGAGCTTGGCTCCTTGTCCCTGCAAGTCAGGGAGCAGTAGACAATTGGCCAGCATGCAAAGCCTGTTAGATAAGCCTCTGATATTCCCCCAGAAGTCCATAACTCAGTAAAAACCTAAAAATTTAAATTCTAAAAATGAAAAAAAATGGGTCGTGGGACTAAACTTGTATGTTTGGGTTGTTAGATATTAAACAAAGCCTCCTAAACTGCTATGGGGACTCATGAGAATTGTTGCTTAGATGTTGTATGTCCTCATTCTCCTCTATGAACCATACTCCCAGGCCAGAGTACAAAATGTATAATGTATCATGGTCATCCCTTTTGATAAGTCTGCAGCCCATGTAAGAGGATTCCCATGCATGATAAAAGATATAGTCCAGCTCTGTAGCTGAGGACCCAAATTCTTAACTTCCACAAAGCTTTCTTTGTGTTCAGATTATTCAACTAAAATTTTGTTTTCTACCAAAAGATGACACTTTTTGTAGAAACCATTGTTTTAACTACCAATTTTCTTCCAAAATACATTTCATTGGAGATGTTCCAAGGAACTCCACAATGAGCAGGATCATTCTCCATTCTTACCCAAATTCAAACAATACTGACCTGATGCTGCCAAAGGAACAAAGATGTCCACATGGCCTCCTTCCTCAGGAGAAGTGACACAACCTCCTAGCTTCTCCCAAAATTCTCTAATTTCAGAGCTCAAAATGTTCTCAATACTAATTCTGCAGCCTGAAACAGATTAAAATGAAAGTCAATGAAAGAAGAGAAATAGCATTTGAGGTTTTAATCTGCTCAGAGATCCATCTCATCTGCACTTTGGATTACTATCCCCTCAACTCTCTTAGGGCAATATAATAAAAGTAGCAAGTATGAATAAGTGCAATGTTCCATAACTTGCAAACTGTGAGATTACTTCCCTTCCATCTTTTTTTTTAATTACTTCTACCTCTAAATTCATTTCTTTGTATCATATTCCACTCCTCTCCTCACACACACCTTCTCCTCTGACCACTGTTTTCCATTTATGGGGCTGCTTTTTAATTCTCCTCTTTTGCTTCATTTTCTTATCTTCCTTGAATCCCTTCTTTAACTTCCTGGTCAGACTTTTAGTTCTATGGATTGTCTTCAGGGTCTCCATGCCCTTATAAAGATAATATCAGAAATGACTGCAGTCTCCTTGTTTTTAACTGATTACTAAACCCCTTGTCCTGTAAGCTTTTACATCTAGGCAGCCCTTTCTTCCCAGGTAACTACAATGGAAGGTGCAGATCCTCCTGCTAGAAACTCATTATAGTGGGATTAACTTTTCAGATTTATACCACTGTCCCTTTTGGGAAAACTCAGCATGTGATAGCATGTGAAATGTTACCAATTATTTTGTTTCTGCTCTTTAATCTAACCGTTACCTTGAAGCAAACTGATTTCTCTGGAGTCTCCATCACTGAAAATTCCAATACTCCTTGCTTTTCGGCCATCCAGGGCCTTTTCTATGTAAAAAAAGAGACTTTCCAATGTCATTCCACTATGTTCATATACCATGGGAACTACTTCTGGCTTAGTGCTGTCCAGAACCATCTGCAGGAAGGAATTATTTAAGAATAACAATAAACAATTCATGTATTTCTCAAGAAGGTGATTCCTTGATAAGTATAATTTCTAAATCAGTTAAATGTTGTAGATCAGGGTGTCAAGCATATAACTCAGAGGCCAGATCTGGCCTGTGAAGCCAAAGGATTCAGCCCATGAGCATGCAGAGCCAGTCTTGTGCATGGGTTGGACTTGGTGCTGTGGGTGCCACCCACCGCCAGAGGTTTGGTCTGGGGTGAGAGCTGGCTCTGGCACAGTTGGAACTCGCCTGCTGACTGGTACAGAGACCATCATCTCACCCTGTGGGCTGGATAAGTTTGACACCCCTGTTGTAAACATTACCACATTATGTATCATATGTAATATTAGTCACTATATCAAGAAGTGACTTTATAATTCCAATGGATCTCTCTCCAAAAGCCTCCATGTAAGGTTAACAATAACCATGACCTTCACTATGACACTTATTGGGCATGGGCTTGAAGTTAATGGTATTTTGTAGAGGTAAAGCAGGTTGCCTGCATGCAGTGGATGGTAGGACCAGGTCCTTATCAGGGAACAAAATAATGCTGCTTGGTGGTTCAACTCTGTGTTCTGCATTTCCCCCTCACTGTTACTTTTTGAAGCTGAGATTATAGACACATTTTAAATAAATATGCAGTGTGGGCTGCTTTTAACATGACACTTTACATACATTTGTATAGCAACTTTCACAAATTTTTACTTAAAACAGAGGAGCTTTCTTCCTGCCTAGAGCGGGGGCAGAGCTGGACCTGATGATCTGCAAGGTCCCATCCAGCCCCTAACAATCTATGAATCTATGAATCTTTAAATCATATGTGTATCAGTACATTTGAAAATCTCATCTTGAGCAAGCAGCATTTTAAAATCAATTTCATGTTAAACTCTGAATTTCTGTCAGTAAGAGTCATTTGGACCCAAAGACTTACTTTACAGATGTTACTGTAATTTTCTGCTGCTTTCTTTTAAAGTAAAGTAATTTTCTGCTGCACTCATTAAGTATGGTGCATTTCTTCAAGGAAGGAAGAAAAGTCTGTTGTAAAGCTCTGCAATATTGAGCAGTTTGGGCACACAGAAACCCAGTCACCCCCCAAAAAATTCATACCTCATATGCAGGAATCTGAGATGATATCAAGAGCAGGCATGGCTGAAGTGGATATATACAATTGCTGTATTTTTGGTAGATGTTCTGACAATGTCTGTAGGGTAGATGAGAGTAAGATCTGATTCCAGCCACATTTCTTCTATGTGAAGATAAGTTGAAAATAATAATAATTAAAAGTCAGTATTAAAACTACTATAACCATTCTTTTTTGCTTAAATCTGTGAAGGTGCATAAACAATAAAACTTGAAAAAAATCAAAAATCCCAGATAACCTCTGTTATCCTCAATACACACGCATTTTGATTTCCAACATTACTGCCTCTTGTACATAGTACTTTGGAAAATATCCCAGTGTTCCATATGCATAGTTGTGACACCTCTTTGCATTTGGGAGAGGGATGTGAAGAGTAAAAAGTTCTGGCTTTTATAAATGACTACTGTATATGAGTTCCTTAATGCTCCAATGTCTGAAAACATTAGAATGTTTCTGAAATTCCATCCTATCTCTGTAGCTCTGTAAATTGATAAATCCTTAAAATACTGGACTGAACCACCTACCAGTTACTTTGATAAATACATTTGTAGCCATGTCTATTATTCTAGTCTATTCTTGCTGAATGATACCATTTCTAGGAGAAAATAAACTTTAATAGTCTAGTGAATACTGGAATTCTTGATTTCCAAACACCTATAGTTCACCTACTTGAAGTCTTTATATTTATTTTTAGGTCATGTCTTTGACAAGAATAGGTTTTAATGCAACAAAAGAGAACGCACTTTTTGGAGCCTCTCCTTAAGTTGCAGAGGCATAACTGGCCAGTACTGCACCTAATGTGTGTGGTGAGTGGCCATTTTACCACCAATTTTCAGTGGCAAAAAAGGTGACACCTCACCCTCATAGGAGCAAACCTCCAGATGCTGCTCCTATAATATGCATTACTGCTGCTGCTTTGCCCTCCCTGCTGTCAGAGAAGGTGCAAAGTGCCAGGGGAGGGGAGAATCATGGAATGGGAGGGAGAGGGGCAACACCTGGGGCTCATGCTGTGCTCACCCACCCATTGTTACACTACTGCTTCTTAGCCAATACAGCTCTGGCTTAGCCCATGGAAAGTACAACCTCCTGGATTTACTGGTAGTCCCCCATCCAAGTGGCACTTTTCCTGGTTCAAGTTAAATGACAACCCCCAAGCATCCCAGCATGCTTTCCAGCCCTGGGCTGGGTTAGGCTGTGCTGTGCTGTCTGCTCCAGCAGAGAAGGGTTGGTGCGGGGGGGAGGGCAAACCCCAGCTGGGGTCTGGGCCAGGGAGGGGAGTTAAACTTTCCTTCCACCGAGTACAGAGCTGCCCTGCCCTGCTAAAAAATTACTGCTGGCTGCAACTGTGGACTACAAATCCCAGAGGAACCTGGAAGCAGGAAGAGGAAGTGATAAGCAACTCTGCAGAGTCCTGTTGCAGTAATTCTAAACTGCAAATCCCAGAGACCTTGGGGGCAGCAGGAAGAGGCAGCAAACACACAGCTCATGCTGACTATGTGCCAGAGAGCTGTGCTCTAGTACTCTCCAGCTTCTGGCCTGAGCCACTACAGGCATGTGGCTGCATTTCCTGAATCAAAAGTGAATGTCTATCCAGTTGTTTAATCTCTGCAGTTTAGATTAACTTGCAAAGACTGAATTGATTCATCCTTGGGCTTTTTGACTGTCTGTACTTAAGAAAAATGACTATACAGTAGATTCCTCAAACCCAGGTGGTTCACAATCTGCTTGATTGGGTGCTTTTGCATAGGATGCTTTTGATGAGCCTGGCAGCTGTTTCCTGAGGGTTTTTCTTCAAAGGGTACTGTTTCTCCAGCCATCTGGAGATTTCTCAGCAGTCCCAAACAGCTGACTGGAGAAGGAGCACCATTTGAAGTAGAAGCCTGAGCAATCATTAGGAGCAACTCAGTGGTTGCATACACTGTTTGCTATGGCTATAAATAGCACCCAACTTGTTCACAAACCCACATTTAATCCAACAGATTATCCAGATTCTACTGTATAATTTTCCTATTTTGGATGAACAACCTGTTGCATTGTGGGAGAGCTGTGGGTCTTAAGATCTGCTGATTTAAGCCCAGATATTTCTGGTACTGGCTACTTCAAGTCAAATCAGACCTTGGGGTTTACAGTATGAAGCTAGTGTCTGTGGCCAACCCTCACACACCACCACATTTCTGCCCAATATCAAATAATAATGCTAGCCTTAGAACTAGACGCGCCTGGTTTCAGTTAATTGGAGGACCTGATATGACAGATACATCTCCTGTAAGTTGGTTCCCAGTGTTGCTACTTTCAGCCTGAAGATCAAGCACGAATTGTAGAGAAACTGTATGGGCTTTATTGAGAATGAACTCCATCAAGGTGCCTGTATTTCAAAAGTGTATGACATAACAACAGCAACTTGCATTTTTGTGTTGCTTCCCATTTGTCCTGTGTTCTGTGACTGTTACTAATCAATACATTGTGGGGACCATTTTATATTTCATGTTGAGAGACTCTCCAGCGCTTTGAAAATTTTGAGCATTGCTTACCTGTTGGGAAAAGATTTTAAGGAGGCTAAAACCAACTGCTTCTCTGCTGCCAGACTAAAACTTGACATGGATTTCATTTCTTCAGACAGCAAAGTTGAAAGAGTATGATTTGGGATAGCATTTCTTTCCTGTAAGCGTTTGAAGAAAAATACAAAAGATAAATGCATTTGACACAGTATAATAATATACATTCCCTATATTATTGTACCAGTCAATAAATACTAGCAAACTTTGGCAGCAGTGACTGGAGACGATTGAGTTCAGGATCCTGAGGAAAAGGAGGAAGGAGACAAGCAGAGTAAGGTTGCTGGACTTCAGGAAAGCAGACTTCAACTCACTCAGGGAACTGATAGGCAGGATCCCCTGGGAGGCCAGTCAAAGAGAGGAAAGAGCCTAAGAGAGCTAGTTGTACTTAAAACAATTCTTACTGAGGACGCAGCAACAAACCATCGAAATGTGCAGAAAGACTAACAAGTATGGCAGAAGACCAGCTTGGCTTAACAGGGAAGTCTTCAGTGAGATAAAACACAAAAAGGAAGCTTATAAGAAGTGGAAACATGGACAAACAACTAGGGAGAAGTATATGAGTATTGCTCAGGTATGCACAAATTAAATTAGGAAGGCCAAAATGCAACTGGAGTTGCAGCTAGCAAGGGATGTGATGGGTAACAAAAAGGGTTTCTACAAGTATGTCTTCAACAAGAGGAAGACCAGGGAAAGTGTGGGTCCCTAACTGAATGGGGGAGGCAGCTTAGTGACAGAGGATGCAGAAAAGGCCGAAATACTCAATGCTTTTTTACCTCAGTCTTCACAAGCAGGGTCAGCTCCCAGACTACTGCACCTGGCAGCACAGTTTGAGGAGCAGGTAGGAAGCCAACAGTAGCAAAAGAACAGGTTTGGGACTATTTAAAAAAGATGGATGTGTACAAGTAATGGAACTGGATGCAATGCACCTGAGGTGGCTGAGGGAGTTGGCTGATGTGATTGCAGGGTCATTGGCCATCATCTTTGAAAACTCATGAAGACTGGAGGAGGTCCTAAACAATTGGAAAAGGACAAATATAGTGCCCATCTTTAAAAAAGGGAAAAGGAAGGTCCAGGGAACTATAGACCAGTAACCCTCACCTCTGTCCCAAGAAAAAACATGGAGCAGATCTTCAAGGAATCTATTTCTAAGCACTTGGAGGAGAAGAAGGTGCTTGGGAACAGTTAGCATGGATTTACCAAGGGCAAGTCATGCCTGAACATCCTTCCTTCTTTGACAAGATGACTGGCTCTGTGGATGTGGGGAAAAGCAGCTGATGTGATACACCTTGACATTAGCAAAGCTTTTGATACGGTCTCCTACAACATTCTCACAGGCAAGCTAAGAAAGTACGGGTTCTGTGAATGGACTGGAAGGTGGATAAAAAACAGGCTGGATTGTCAGGCTTAGAGGATAGTAAGCAATGGCTAAATGTCTAGTTGGCAGCTGGTCTCAAGTGGAGTGCCCCAGCGGTTTGTCCTGGGCCAGTTTTGTTCACTAGCTTCATCAACGACCTGGAAGATGGCAGAGAATGCACCCTCAGCAAATTTGCAGATGACACCAAACTGGGGGGAATAGTAGATAAGCTGGAGGGTAGGACTAGGGTTCAGAGAGACCTTGACAAATTGAATGACCGGATCAAAAGAAATCTCATTAAATGCAATAAGGACAAATGCAAAGCCATCTACTTAGGACAGAACAATCCCATGCACCAGTACAGACAAGTACTGACTGACTAGGCAGCAGCTCAGGACCCTCCGGTTACAGTGGAACCTCAGTGCAGAAAAGGACCCTCAGGTTACAGTGGACATTAAGCTGAATATAAGCCAACAATGTGCCTTTGTTGTGAAAAAGGCTAACATACTGGGCTGCATTAGTAGGATTGTTTTCAAAAGATTGAGGGAAGTAATTTTTCACCCCAATTCAGCACTGGGGAGGCCATATCTGGAGTATTGTGTCCAGATTTGGGCCCCCCAAAAGGTTGTGGATAAAGGATGTGAACAAACTGGAGAGTCCAGTGGAAGGCAATGAAAATGGTTAGGGGGCTGAGGCATAAGACTTCTGAGGAGAGGCTGAGGGAACTGGGCTTCTTTAGTCTGGAGAAGAGGGGCACCTGTACACATCATGGGGTTTAATCCTCCATTAAATTAAATAGGTTTATAAAATTTAAAACCTGTTTATTTTGAAGTGTCACATCAGTGTTTGCACACACTTGGTTTTCAAACAGTTTAAGCCTGGTCCCCAGCTGGCACCGCAGGAGAGCAGGATGGTCCTGCACCAGAAAAACTTTTAAAGCATCTGGAAAACCCTCTCGTGCAAACAGTCATACTGTTGCAGCACAAGAAAGGGCAAAAAACATGGCATGTACAAAGGCCCGAGAAGACTGAGTGGGGATTTAATAGTGGCTTTCAACTACCTAAAGGATTGTTAGAAAGAGGATGGAACTAGACAGTTACCTGTGGTAGCAGATAACAGAACAAAGAAAAATGGTCTCAAGTTAGAGCAAGAGAAATTTAGGTCAGATACAAGAAAAAACGCTCACTGGAAAGGTAGTAAAGCACTGGAACAGATGACCCAGGGAGGCTGTGGAATCTCCATCCTTGAGGTTTTTAAAACCCAGCCAGACAAAACATTGGTTGGGATGATCTAGTTGGGGATGGTTCTGCTTTGAGCAGGGGTGCTGCCCCTTTCCTTCCCATTACGTTGGACTAGATGACCTCCTGAGGTCCTTTCCAACCCTCATTTTCTATGATTCTATGATTGAAAGAGACAAACAAAATCAGAGGTAGACAAGGTTTTTTGGGTAAATGTGATGTCTTATATTAGACCAACTACACAGTTGGAAAATTGTTGGAAATTTTTATTTAGTTGGTCTAATAAAAGATATCACATTTACCCAAAGAACCATGTCTGCCAATGTCCTTAGACCAACACAGCCATAACCACCCCCTAAAACAAAAGCAGATGCATTTAAATGTGTTTCTCAGGGCCACTCTACACATGCAGGTAAAGGTACAATGGGATCTAATGTGTGATCCATACAATCACACCTCCTGCCATGCCACATGCATGGCAGGAAACAGGATTGTGGGATCACACATTAGATCCCATCACATCTTCCTGCCAGTGTGTGAAGCCTCATTGTGCATGGAGCCCCTGGGGCTGGGAGATCATGGCAGCTACAGTCTCCCAGCCTCAGGGGTTTCATGCACCCTTAAGGCTGGGAGACCATCACAGCACCATGAACTTCCAGCTCTGGAGGTTTCACACACCCGAGACTCCATGCAGCCCTGGGGCTGGGAGATCCTAGTCATGCCCCAGCTGTTTCCTAGCATCCGTGTGGTGCTACCAAGACCCAGAGTCCACAGCTGCCTGAGCTGAAAATCCCCTCAGTTGTGGGACTCCTGGCCCTGGCTGGGCCTGGTGCACCCCTGCAGCTGGGAGCCTGGTCAGCTGACAGGGCTCACAGCTTCATGGGGGACCCTGCTATACATGCAAATCAAAGCTGGATACCAACCATAAAGTTAGTATACAATTTTGAGGTCTAACTTTATAGCTGGTTGGACATTTTTATGGCGTGATAGCTACTTTGCAGATGCATCTGGTTTCAGTTAACTACACAATTAACCAGCTAATTACATAATATCTATAATGTGTAGAAGGAGCCTCTGAAGAACAGAAGTACAGTAGTAAAAAATACAGCTGGGCAATTTTTTTTTTTTGCCTAAAACTGTTCAACTGAAAAAAATGCAATTAGGTCAACTGAAACTTTTCACAAATTATTATTTTTTTTTTTGATTGTTTCAATAAAAATGGTTTCAGTAAAAAGCATTTAGAAATTCAAAATATGAAAATGTTCATGTTCTATCCCATTTAGAATGAAATACTTAGGTTTTTTTGATACAATGTTTCATTCCAAAATTTCCTTCAATTGTATTGCAAAAAATTAAACCTCAAGAACAAACAAAACAAAACATTTCATTTTGCCAAATGAAAGGTTTTGTTCAAGTTGAGACCAAACTGTTTTCTGATTTCTTAGATTATAGAAGATTTTGAAATTTCAGATCAGTCTGAAATTATTTTTTTCAGCTTTTCAGAACTGCCAGCAGATCAGTTTTTGCAGATTTCTAGTTCAGACAGAATTCTGTAAATTGTACAACACAGATGAAACCTCAAGCATCACTCCAGCAATGTGCAAAGGCTAGCATATATAATTCAGTGGCAAGGGGAATCAGTGGTGGCAGCTGTCACAGGGCTCCCCACATGCACCACAGTTCGAGAAATGCTACTTTATAAAACCAAGACCCTAAATATTAATTTATGTGTGTAAAATAGGGCTACCCTAGAAACTCTTTTCCTGCTTTATGAGAATTATTCTGATTTAAAAATTTTTCCCATCCCAAACCAGAACAAAAAGTCAATCTTATTGACTCAGTTTGTAAATAAATTGTTCAGGTCATACGCAACATTTAATTTTAAAACGTTTTGTTTAGATTTCAGTCTTTTTGTAATTAAAACCCTTTTACTATGTTTACTGTAACTTTGAGGGGAAAGTCATTCCCACTCAAAAGAATGATACTTTTTTTGAAAATATCTAAATCAGCTGTTTAGACAATTTCAAAGCTATTTTCTAAAACATTTCAAACCTGCTAAAATAAGTATTTATAAGAGGGAAGGATGAGAAAAAGTACTTTCCTTGACTGGGAATTGGCTTCCTCTACCTTTATTTTTTTATTTCTGGTACCAGTGGGCACATATACACATACAAATGCTGCTGGATGGGTAAGCCATCCTGGGCAGGTGTCTACACATGCACACATTTAGGAGCAGATTTGCTCCCAATGGCAGCAACCCAGAGAGGGTGCTCCCACCATGCTCTGCCCCACTGCAGTAGGCTCTAGGCTTTTCTGATGGGGCCTGAGAGATTCCTCCCTGCCCCCAGAAGCTGCCTGTTTTGGAGGCAGAGACAATGTCCCCCTGCGCCGGCAGCAGGGAACTCCCAGCCCCAGCTCCCCAAGCTGGGGCAGAGGGCTTGGAAAGAGCTGCAGGGGAGGGGCAGGTCTCAGCACCCTGCCCCAACCTGCTGGTTGGGCAGCTATCAGGGGGCAGCTAGCAGCGAGGGACAGCTAGGAGTCCCAATCCACCGGTGGAGCAGTTAGCAGCAAGAGGCCCAGCTGGGGGCTCAATGCTAGCTGCCCCACTGGCAGATTGGGGTAGGGGGGCTGGGACTTGCCCCTCCCCCACAGCTCTTTCCAAGCCCCATGCCTTGATCACCTGATTGAGGCATGGGGCTGGGAAAAAATCTGCAGGGCTCAGACCTGCCCCAGACCAGAACTGTTCCTAGCCAGCCCCAGGCTGCGCAAGGAAGTCTACACATGCAGCTCTGAGCTAGCTAGGGACTGCTCAAAACAGGAAAGTTCCTAGGCTGCATGTGTAGACCTCCCCACATAGTTGGGGCTGGCCAGGAACTGTCCTAGTTCTGGGAAAGATCCCATCCAGCTCCAGGCTGGGCGGAGAACTCCCCATGCAGCGACCTCCTGGCCCCAGCTCTGCAGTCACGGAGTGGGGGCTGGGTGTTCCCTGCTCCTGGGGCAGAGAGACATTGTCCCCATCTAGATTCTGCTGCAGAGCCTGCCCCAGCAGCAGGCAGCTCCAGGGGGCAGGATGCAATCTCCTGCCCCCTGCTGCCCAGCTGACAGGGAGCAAATTTGCTCCCAGTCTCTCACCTACACGTCCTGCTGAGAAGAGTAAATTACTATGCAGTAAGGGTCTGCACTAGTAGATAGTGATGCTTACTACACACTAATTTGCTATATAGCACAGTAAAGTGTCTTAGGTAGATGCGCCCAGTGTCTTGTCAACCACCCTCAACTCCTGCTGAAGTCTGAAGAAACCCAAGGCACTCAAGACCTCAGAGGAATAGTTGTAAATAAGGTCCTGTAATGCATTAAGACTGATTTTTATGAAGAGAGCCAGAAGCCAAGGTAGATATGCACCATTGTAGGCTAACTAAATAAGATATATATAGACGCTGATGAAGTGAACTTTGGTTCACAAAAGCTGTGCTCTCATATATATCTTATTTAGTTAGTCTACGAAGGTACATATCTATCCTGCCTTCTGACTGACTTCAGACTAACATGGCTAATCACTTTTCTCTTTCATATAGAGTTGGATATGTAATGGAGGATTTTCTTCTTTCTGCGTTCATTGTCCATTGTTATAAATACTTGACTTTGTTGTGTTGTTTGGGTGTACACATCCAAAAATCTTAATTTATTTTTAAATTATATATTTTAGATGTATATCCCACCCTATCCAAACAGCTCAGAGTGTTTACAGTAAACAAATACCCACAAACAGTATTCCCCAATCAATACCAGTCATAGGAATATAGGACTAGAAGGGATCTCGGGAGGTCATCTTGTCCAGACACTACTCAAGGCAGGATAATCATTAGGGCTGTGAGAAGCTTCAGTCCCTGATTTGATTTGGCAGAGATTTGGCCCAATTCAGTGTCTGAATCTCCAAATTGAACCAGAGGACCCTTAATCTCTCTGAATCGAATCGGGACCCTCCAAATCAATTCAGAGAGATTTGAAAAAATTAAGACATTTGGACATAGACACAGCTTTAAATGTATTTTCTACATGCCTCTAGGTAGCAGGGGCTCGTGAATGCTGCAATGCTGGGGCATGTGGAGTCCCACAGAAGCATGGGGGCTCCCCAGTGTGCTTGGCAGAAGACCCAGAAGTGGACTAGAAGCACTTCTGTTCTACTTTCGGGTCCACTGGGGAGTGCTCTGGGGGACCCCCGCATCCGCCCCGGCTTGCGGTGACTGGTGCCTCCTGTGTCTGGGGGTGGCACCTGGGGTCCCCCTGCAGCTGATTGCTGAGCTGGGGAGGCATGGGGGGGGGCCCAGCACGTTCCCCAGCAGACCTGGAAGTGGACCGGAAGTACTTCCGGTCTACTTCTGGGTTTGCTGCCGAGCACATGGAGGGACCTCCCACACTCCTGTGGGTCGCTCCACATGCCCCAGTATTGCAGCATTCACAAGCCGCACGTGCTACCTCAAGGTATGTAGAAAAAACTTTTAAAGCTGCGTCTGTGTCCAAATCAGCATCGAATCTTCAGATTCAGATTCGGCCAAATCAAATCAGGGACAGTGATCCAAATCAATGAATTAAATCACTGTCCCTGATTCGGTCCGAATCTGAATCCGAATAGAATAGGACCCACTTTGCACACCCATAATAATCATGCATTAAACTATACCAGCCAAGTTTCCTTCTAAACTGGTCCTGAAGATGTCCAGGGATGGAGATGTCATAACTTTTGTAGGAAGCCTGTTTCAATGTTTGACTACCCTCATAGTTAGAAAGTTCCTCCTAATCTTCAGCCTACATTTTCTCTGCTGCAGTTTGAGCCCATTGCTCCTAGTTCTGTTCCCTACAGTCACACACAAAAAAAATCTATCTTCATCCTCCTTATAAATTGCCCTTCAGGTATTTGAAGCTGGTTATCAAGTCCACTCTCAGTTTATGATGTTAAGTGTTTGCAGGATTTGCCCTCTCTTTGTTAAAATATACAAGTCGCAGCCTTTGTAGCACTTACCAGCATATCCTGAAAATAAGCTTGCCACATTCTGTCATGACAGAGCTTGGATATCAGAACCTGGTTAGTCCCATTAGCCAGTTCTCATCCATACTAATTAACCATAATGGGCAGTAGAGCATGGTAGCCCCAGGCAAAGCACTGTGGTATTCTGCTTCTCAAAGCCAAACTAATTTGTTCAGAGCCTACTTAGGTATCTCTACACAGCACTGCACTATCTTACGTATTCATACCATGGGAGCCATTCTGAACCCAGCATTATTAGATATGCAAAGGCACACTATACTTGATCATCACCTGTATTTCAGACAGAAAACAATTCCATAGAATTTTCACTTACAGCACAACTATTATTGGTCTTATTTTCCCAGCCTTATCCATGGTACGGGGTACTTTACTCCACTAGTACACAGTAGGTGTACCTACACGTGTCCCTAGGTCACCTTTGTTACTGCTCCATCGTTTAGTATTTCCTTTTGAAAGTGTTAAATGATGGCACAGTAAGAGTCCGTATTGTGCCATGCATACTGTGCACGGTTAGTTTCAGCTGCTACATTGCCATACCAATGTACTATAACGAGGGAGCACATTGCTACAGCCATGTACTGTCATGTGTAAATGCATCCAGTAGGTGCATCTACATATGCTATTCATTCACAGTATTTTACCGTGCAATAAGCCTTCCCGGGAACAGATTTGCTCCCCATGGAAGCACTTCAGTACAGGGATGCTCCCATTCTGCTCTGCCCACCTGCAGCAGCCAGGGGTAGCTCCAGGCTCCCCCTTGCACTAGCCTGGAAGTTTCATAGATTTCATAGACATTTGGGCTGGAAGGGAGCCCAGAGGATCATCGAGTCAAGCCCCATGCCCCAGGGGCAGGAAGCCAGCAGGGATCATAGGATCCCAGCAAGATAAGCATCCAAATGTGTCTTGAAGGCAAGTTAGCAAGGGACATACCAGTCCCAGTGAGCATGGAGCCAGGAGAGGCCAGTCCCAGTGGGCATGAAGGCAGGAGAGCTCTGCCAACAGCAGCAGCAGCAGCAACTATGTCCTTCCCCCATGTATGTTGGGAGAGGACCTGATGCGCACGGGGCCAGGAGGGAGCTGCCCCTGCAGCAGTCAGAGCTCTCCTGGCCCTGTGCCCAGGACACAGCTGCCAGCAAGCCCCCTGCCAGACACAGAGTTGCTGAGAGCTGTCCTGGGTGTGGGTCAGCTGCCAGCAAGCCTCCTGCCAGGTGTGGGGGAACACGGGACTCTCAGGCAGCTGCCGACTGCTCTGGGGAGTAGGCAGGGGCTGGGAATCTGCTTGTCCTCCGGAGCTGCCAGTTCCACACCAGGCACTGGGACAGGGGGCAGAGAGCTCCCCGGTCCTGGTGCTGATTGGTTCCCAGCTCCTGTGGGTAGCTGGGGAGCTGAGTAGCACGGGGACTGGGACAAGGAGCAACCTGTCTCCTGTGGCCCCCTGCTGGTTAGGCCGACTGGGAGCAAATTTGTTCCCAGTATTCACAGGTAGCAGCTAACTACACAGTAGACTAATTTACTGTACAGTAAATGTGCGCACGTATAGACAGTGATGCTTTACTGTGCAGTAAATTAGTCTACTGTGTAGTAAAGCATCTCGCGTAGACACACCCAGCGAGTAAGAGGTGTGTAAAGATGGCAGAAACAGGTCCTCAATAAATAACGGCTATAAACTGTGCTGACTTAAATAGCATTACATAGACATAAATAAACAAACTGAAGTACTTTCAATAACTGCATTTCCATTAGTTCCGATTCAAACAGAATCTCTCTCTTAACACTGACAAGCAACTTCAGCATCCTGCACTAAGTGTTGGTACATGAAAAGAGTTGTCTGATCAGAAGAAAATGATGTGTGACAAGATAGATGCCTCATCTGGTAATGCTAGTAACAGAACAATGAGTCTGACTGATCTACAAAGGATCAAATGAAAGCAGGTTTTTGTGGGGAGGGAACCCAGTACCTTAATTATTAGCAAAGCTGCCTGAAGTCTGGTGCAATCTTGAATAGTCTGGGCTGGGCATGGCTGTAATGATGATTTTAAAAACCTTGAGCTCCATGTCCTGCTTCCCCAGGGTGGTCGTGCCTTGAATAAAGCCTCTAAAAAAGGAGCAAAATCGCAGCTGTTTAATCCGATGCATCTCCAATGCAATTTAAGCAAACACTGTTAGAAGCATAGAGGCAGTAATTAGAGAAATGATGAAGTGAAAAAAAGCATGATAGTTTTACATGGCAAACATTGTATTTTATCTAAATAGAATAATTCCACCTGAAGATCCCGATTATGCTAGGCTAGGAATTGGTCACTGTACTAATTGAATGCATGAAACAAAGGTGCAGTGTTGACAACTTCAAGCATTCAGAAATAACAACCTGGGTTTAAAAAAATACAGGATTAAAAAAAATACTGAGTTCTTTTTATAGAACTTGGGGCTTGTTCTTTTTAAGTGTTATCCTCCCAGGAAACCTAGAAACCTTCTTTAGAAAGAAAAAAAAAGAAAATGGAGATGAATATGACTCCAGGAACTGGGATCTTGGAATAAAGAATAAATATGACATTGGGAAGAGTGGACACTAAGGTGTGCTTTCCAGAATATCTTGGAATACTGCATTAATAGATAAATCCTTTCCAACATAGAATGAAGAATGGAGGAATCACATATGGTGAATAAAAATTAACAATCTATGTCTAATATCGAATACCCATGATTATTAGATTTGGTAGTCAAAAATCTCAATACGCTGTGGAATGTTTGTAAAAGTCTCTAAATTTCATGAAATTCCATGGAAATATTTTTGGTTGTCTTAGATTTTATCCAAATAATTTTATTTTAAAAAACCCCAACAACAAGAGTCCCTAACTTTTGGCTCAAATTTGATTTTATCCATAACAGTAACTAAAAATTCTCCAGGATGCATAGCTATTTAACTTTTTCCTCTCCAACCTTCATTGTTCTAAATTTGTACAACAGTGTATACTAAAATGCAACTGCTGACAATTTGATATTTTTCATAGCTTTTACAACTGACATATTTTAAAAACTATAATGTACATTGTTGAGCATGAATATTTTTAGTCGTTTGCTTACAGACATGTTACATGGTTTAGCAACTGTTACTGAAGAAAAATAATAATTTTTGTATTTCCAATTTTTAGTACATAACTTTTTTATATTGAAAAAAATTTAAACTATAAAAATTAGTTTTCCTAAGCAAATAGTCTTTGAATATTTGAATAGTTGAGCCTAGTTTATTAATTTTAAAAGAAAAATATAGTTATTTAATGTCACTGACTCTTGTGTAATGCCAGTCTTTCCTGAATCATTTTTCTCAGCTGTTTTTCTCGCAGCCTTTCTTCCTGCTCCTCATTTTCAAATTTTGGTTCATTGAGGGTCCCATAGATTTTACTGGCTTCCCTTGGAGTGAGGTAATCCAAGGTAGTTGCACAGGTGATATAATGTCGCTTCCAAGCACTGTGTTCATTGTCTGTTGGAGTGTATGGCAGGAACCATCCAAACTTGATGCATTTTGGCATCCACAAACAATCCTTAAGACAAGATGACAACAAAAGAGGGAAAGCAAGCTGTGAGGTAGGGAAAAAAAGTTTCTACTTAAAACCCTAAGATAAATTATATTGCTACTGGTTAAAACTTGCAGGTATTTTTTGATGAATTATCTAAAAATGTGGTAGGGGCTTTACAGAGCCTATGAATTATCTAAAAATGTGGTAGGAGCTTAGAGCCTGCTATGGCATTTTCTTACGTGCTCCTGAGAAGGAATACTCAAATCATATTAATGAATTCAAATACAAGCATTGCATTTGTTTTCTTAAAAATTCTTCATTTGGAAATACTGTGCTGTCTCCTTGATTGTCATATTTCATCTAAAAAGAATGCAGAAAAGAAAGAGAAGATTAACTGTTGAGCTATTATGAGCAACTTTTTAAGATCCATATTTATCTGTGTACGTTGTATAGCATTTATGTTTTATACTGGGCATGTCTACACATGCATTTACTCCAGCCTAGATTTACTGTGCGTCTACAAAAAGAAGTACTGCACTGTGCCAGTGGTGCACAATTATTTTTAGCTGCTACACACCATAGCAATGCGCTATAATGGAGCGTGTTGCTATGAGTGGCCCTCCTCTGGACCCTCTCAAGGTTATCCACATCCTTCTTGAAGTGCAGCACTCAAAACTGAACGTAGTACTCCAGCTGTGGCCTTACCAATGCTGCATAGAGGGGAAGTATCACTTCATTAGACCTGTTCATTATGCACCTGCTAATGCATGATAGAGTGTGATTAGCTTTACTGATCACTTTGTCACATTAACGACTCATGTTCAGCTTGGAGTCGACTATGACTCCAAGATCCCTTTGTGCCACTGTGCTACTTAGAAGGTCATCTCCTGATCTGCATATATGTTGGTGATTCTCTCTTTCCTATGTGCAGCACTTTGCACTTACCTTTGTTAAACTGCATCCTGTTCTGTACCCACTTTTCCAACCTGTCGAAACCTGCCTGAATCTGTTCCCTGCCCACCCGTGTGCATGGCCATCCCTACGGGGGCGTGAATCAGGGCGACCACCCTAGGCCCCATGCTTTGGGGGGCCCCGCAGAGCCAGGTGGAGCAGCAGCAGTGTGGAGCCAGGTGGAGTGGTGGCTCCGCATCCAGCTGCTTGCTACCAACCCTGCCCGCCACCAACATTGCTGCTGCCAATGGTGGTGGCAGCTTCTTTGGATCAGGGGCCATGGGATTGGAGTTGGGGCAGGGCCCCACATGGGCTAATTTGCCCCGGGCCCCACACCCTGCTCGGGTCACTTCTGCCCACGTGTTTACTTTGCCCCATAATTTGGTCTCGTCCACAAATTTGGACAGAGTGCTCTCCACACCCTCATCTGAGTCACTGATGAAGATATTGAACAGCACTGGTCCAAGGACTGAACCTTGAGGAACCCCACTGCCCACATCTTTCCACGTCAATACCGACCCATCCACCACCACTCTCTGGGTTCATCCCATAAGCCAATTCGCCACCCACCTGTCCATGTAATCATCTACATCACAGCCACTTAGTTTATCTATAAGAATGGGATGAGACACCATATCAAAAGTCTTTTTAAAATCCAAGTAAATGACATTGACCTCAACTCCTGCATTTAAGCATTTTGTGACCTGGTTGTAAAAAGACAAAAGGTTAGCCAGGCAGGATCCACCTGCTATGAATCCATACTGGTTGCCCTTCAGCATTATTTTTCCTGCTGGACTCCAACAAATGTGTTCCTTAATTTTTTCAATGGTTTTCCCAAGGATAGAGGCGAGACTAACCGACCTGTAGTGACCCAGATCCTCCTTCCTCCCATTCTTGAAAATAGGGACCACATTGGCCCTTTTCCAGTCATCTGAGGCCTGTCCTGAGCACCACGAGTGCTCAAACAGTCTTGCCAGTGGTTTTGCTATGACACTGGCTAATTCTCTCAGCATCCTTGGATGAAAATAGTCTGGGGCTGCTGACTTAAACATGTTCAGCCCCTCCAAGTGTCCCTTCACTAGGCTTGGACTAACTGTTGGTGGGCTGGTGTCCCTCTTGTGCCTGTCTATAATCCAACTGGGAGATGAGTCTTTATCTGTGCTCAGGAATACAGATGAGAAAAACTCATTGAAGAGCTCAGCTTTGTCACTCCTATCTGTCACCAATTACCCTAGTCTGTCTTGTAGGGGTCCTATGTTGCCATGCACCTTCTTTTTTGCTCCCTATATACCTGAAGAAGGACTTTTGTTGTCTTCAATTTTTTATGCCAGTCTAAGTTCCATTGCTGCTTTGACCTTTCTGACTGACTCCCTGCAAATGCGAGCCAAGTAGGTATACTCCTTCTTGGTGGCTACCCCCTTGCTACTAGGAGTAAGTATATTCCTTCTTGGTGGCTACTCCCGTGCATGCACAGCCCAGAACTGGCTGGGCAACTGACCAAAACAGGATAGTCCATAGCTACCTCCAGGCTGCAAATGCTTCCCCACACAGCTGGTGGCTGGCTGGGAACTGTCCAGGTCAGGGGTAGGTCCCAGCCAGCTCCAGGCTGGGTGAGGAACTGTCCCCATGCAAGGAGCTCCCGGCCAGCCACTGCTCCACAAACAGAATTGCAAACATGCAGTGGAAGTTGGGAAGTTTGATCTCAGCCCCACACCACAATTTCAGAGTGGGGGCTGGGAGGAAGCACCCAGCCCCTAACTCCATGATTGTGATCAGGGAGCAGGGGCTAGAAGCTGCTGCCAGGGCACAGGAAAATTGTCCTCACCTGGGCATGCAGGGTGGGGGTTAGGGTGCTTGTTCTCTGCCCAGCTCTGTGAGTGTAGAGTTGGGGGAGGAACAGGCTGGGGAGCTTGTTCCCCACCCAACTCCATGCAGGCAGAGCTGGGCAGGGAACAAGCTCCCTAGTCCCCACTAGCAGGGAGCTCCTAGCACCAGCTCCATGACCACAGAGCTGCTGCTGGGAGATGCTCTGTGGTCTTGGGACCACTACTGAGAGATGCTGATCTCCCAGAAGCAGCTCCACGACTCTGGGGCTGCTGCTGGGAAATGCTTATCTCCCAGCCTGAGCTCAACAGTCAGGAGCTCAGGCTGGGAGACCCTTATCTCCAAGCCCAAGCCCCATGTGGGGCTTGGGCTGGGAAATAAGGGTCTTCTACCCTGAGGCCCATGACTGCGGGGCTCGGGCCAGAAGGGTCTCCCAGCCCCCTGTATCCCGACTGTGATGGCAGAGCAGAGGCTGGGTGATAAGTATCTTATCTCCCAGCCCCCACTACCTAATCGCAGCTCCCTGCTGCCAGGGCAGGGGGATATAGTCCTTGCCCAGGCTTCTGTGGCAGAGCCTGCCCTGGCAGTAGGCAGTTCTCAGGAGCAGGGAGCAATCTCCCGCCCCCTAGTGCATGGCTGACTAGGAACAGATTTTACTTCTAGTCAGGCATCTACACGGGCACTACAGCGCCGTTACTAATGCCGAGTAAATGTGCTATTTGCATTTGCAGGTAGCAAATTTACTTGGTATTAAGGAGGTTTACTACAAAGTAAGAACGTGCATGTGTAGACACACATGCTTACTTCGCAAGTTAAGCAGCTTGTGTAGACATGCCCACTATGTATTTATATGGATAATAACAAACAGTAGCACTGTGGATATTCCTAGAGACTACACTTTAGCTTTATCAGTTTAAGTATGTTCTACAGCAACCACTAGAGAAAGTTACAGGTTTCAAAATGTCTAGCTGACCACACAGCTATAAGTTATTTACTCAGTTATGTTACTTGATCCATATGTTTAAAGTCATAAGCCAAAGCAGGTTTAAATATAGAGTCAAATCAGAAAAAATGAAATGATAAGATAGGAGCAGTCTTCTGGTCAGAGAGAAGAAAAATACCTTTATATGTAATTTAAAAAACTTGCTAGAATTGCGCTATACCTATACCCAGATTGCTCTGTCAGAAAACTAGAATATGGCAATGGCTAAATGGTTTTCTGTGAACAAACCATAATGGCAAAGTTGTGCCTTTCCCAGGTAAGAAAAAACACCTCATACAAGTGAAGCAGAAACAGCACAATTTTGTTCTTAGACTTGCATCTGCACTGGGGTTTTACAGGGTCAGAGATCATAGTTCTTCACACCCCTGTCTGACATGGCATTGCTGCATAGGCCTGGCCGTGGATAAGGTTCCAATAATTCATCAGAGTTAGCGAATTAAGTAAAGCAAAGTTTAAAGGTTCACTGTATCAAGTATCATAGAAATAACAGTCTGGTGCAAATCTTTCCCACTGTTTATAATATTTGTTTATAATATTTCATTATGTATCTAATTCCTTAGAAGTGTGGTAGATGGACACATGATAAGACTTTCATTGATAAGCACATATCTGACATATCTGGGAAAATATGAAATTCCCTTGAAAAATTATGCTATATACAAAGTATAAATGCAGATTTCCCATTTCATAGAATGATAAAATGAGAAGAGAAATATCAGGAACCACCCACCTAAAATATCCCATCCCAATGTTTGTCTAACCCGCACTTAAGAACTTCAAATGACAGATTCCACAACCTTTCTAGATAAAAGGTTGCTCAACCACCCTCATTGCTCAACCACCCTCATAGTTAAAAAGTTCATCCTACTATCCTACTTAAATTTCTGTTATCCCAATTCAAACAAATTACTCCTTGTCCTGCCCTCTTTGGATCAGAAAACAGCTAATCATCAATCTCTTTATAACAACCATTTTTGTATTTAGAGAAGACTATCAAATTTCATCTCAGTCTTTTCTCCAGACTAACTAATTCCATATCTTCCAAGCTTTCCTTGTAGGTCACATTTTCTAGGCTTCTCATCATTTGTGTTGCTTTCTTCTGGGTGTTTTCTCAAAGTGTTGACCTAAGCCAGAGCTCCAAGAAAGCAGACGCTGTGGCTGGAGCCCATGCTGCTCAGCACATGTAGAGTTCCAACAGGAGCTGAGCTAACATGCTGGTGAGCTCTGATAGTTCACTACTCATGTATACTCCACAGCTGAATGGAGGGTACAACCATGTCATTGCACACCTGCTTAACCGTTAGCCCTTCTTATTAGCCCCTCCTGCCCCTTCAAATCTAGCTTCCCTTCAGCCTAGCCACCTCAGATGCTTATCCACCTTGGATGCTTATCAGCCTAGCCACCCACTTATCTGATGTCTGAGGGTATGTACCAAGCACCTCATATATATCAGAAGCACTCCTCCATCTGGCAGTTTTTGGCAGGGACATGCAGGTTGCATTCCTCAAAGTCAGACCAGGACCTAAATAGAAGCATCTGGGGTCAGAGGCTAGCTGAACAGAGCCCATTACAGGTAGAGGCAGAGGAACAAGCAGTGGTAGTTTTGGTATTACAATGTTGTCTAGCAACTGCAACGCTTCTTTTGGTACCTCTACCTCTCTTACACTACTGATAACCCAGCAAGTTGACACTAAAAGACCTCACCACATAGACAGGATACTTCCTCTGCAAACCCCCACTCAAACTCCTCTTTTAGTTGGCCTACTTGCTGACACCTGAAAATGTCCAGTTACTGTTCCTATTCCTATTGATATCAGAAAGTTTTACAGCCTGCACAGGAAGCAGGGTTATAGATCTATAATTACCAGACCTGTTCAGTTAAAAATTTCCAGTGCCAGCTGACTTGGGCAGCTGCACAGAGCTCCTTGGGGCTGAGAAAAGAGAAGATGTACAAAGATATGAAACGTGGCAGCATTCTAGTGAAGTCCACTTTCGTCACTGGAATCCTCTCTGCAAACCAATTCTGGGTAAACCTGTGAAGAGATAGATATTCAGATACTTTTATGCCACCTCGTCCTTCTCTTTCAGAAAGCCTGATTTGTCTATGAAGAATACTGTTAGGATTGACATGACTGATGTGAGTACTGCAGTGCAAAGCGCTCAAGGGCTTATGAGGAAGAAATGAAAGCTGCTATATACACTATTTATTAATCTAATTACCAGTAGTTGGCTATTACTCTAAAGATGATCACATGACAGTGACATGATGCAGCATTCGGGGAACAAGTCCAGGCTTATATATAAAGAGAAGCATTGGGTTTCTATAGTAGATTCTGCAGTGAGCTGTACATGTTGCAAAGCACTGGCCCAAAAGTAAATTAAACTGAGTCTGTTGTGTGGTATTCTGGGCATTTAAATCACTGAGGTTGGTTTTACTGTTCTGAAAAGAATTGAAAATGTAAACTTATGTTTTTGCAAGCTGCTTTATGTGATAACTAGTTGGTCAGAAATTTAAGAAAGATAACTGCTATGAATAAAAGACAACTTCATCATTTTCTTAGGCCCACTTGAGGCCAACAAAAAAGGAAGCAGTCATTTCAGATGTTTGGATTGGAAAGGATTAAGATGTTCATAAAAAGGTAAAAAGGAGCACATCTACACATGCAATTAATGCCCCCCAATAAACTCCAGTGCAGTTTGCACCTGAGTCAGCTACTTCTGGGCACAGTGTCTGCACGTGCACCTAGGACAACAGTAGTTTGAGCCAAGGCAGAGCAGCCCTGGGTAGGCTGCAGGCTTGGGTGGCAGCATCAGGTGGCAGAGGGGCTGTCTGGGGCACAAGAGTGCTCAAATTGAGACATCGTGGCTGACCCCCCCAAGCCTACTGTCAGTCTGGGTCTGCTCTGCTCCACCTCAAACTGCTCTGGTCCCGGTCACTGTCCACACGTGCTTTCTGCACAGTAAATGACTATGCTATAAGATAGCACTGCCCCCAACAGTACTATCTTATGGTAGTTAGTTAATTTACTGTGCCCTAATGCCAGCACACGTGTAGACAGTTAACACTCTACTGTGGAGCTAATTAGTCAACTCTGCAGTAAAGTGCATGTGTAGATGCACCTGAGGAGACCCATCTTTAATAATCAATGGCTAGGCCTCAAGTTTCATAGTTTCATAGTTTCTAGGGTCAGAAGGGACCTGAGTAGATCATCTAGTCCGACCCCCTGCCATGGCAGGAAGGAGTACTGGGGTCAAACGACCCCAGCAAGGTGTTCATCTAACCTCCTCTTAAAAACCCCCAGGGTAGGAGCCTGCACCACTTCTCTTGCAAGTTGGTTCCAGATCCTAGCCGCCCTGACCATGAAGCGCCTCCTGATATCTAGCCTAAATCTACCCTCTGCCAGCTTGTGACCGTTATTCCTGGTCACTCCTGGTAGTGCTCGGGGGAACAGGGACTCCTCCAATGCCTGCTGATCCCCCCTGACTAGTTTATAACAGGCCACTAGATCCCCACTCAGCCTTCTCTTGTGGAGGCAGAACAGGTTCAGGTACCGTAGCATCTCCTCATAGGGCCTGCCCTGCAGTCCCCTGATCATGCGAGTGGCCCTCCTCTGGACCCTCTCCATGTTGTCCACATCCCTCTTGAAGTGCAGCGCCCAGAACTGGATGCACTACTCCAACTGCAGCCTGACCAGTGCTGCATAGAGGGGGAGGATCACCTGCTCGAGATGCATCTGTGGATGCATGACAAGGTACGGTTGGCCTTCCTGACTGCCTCCCCACACTGCCAGCCCATTTTCATCTTGGAGTCAAAGTGTGCAAACCCTTCCACAGACACCCACCCAAACTGAAGTTAGTTAGACTACAGGTAAAGGGATTTCATGACTAGACCCTTAGCTTGTAAAATTTGGGAATTTAAGATGTTCAGTACTTTAGAAGGTTCCACATTTTATGACCTGATCCTACTACATGCAACTCTGGCTTGACCCTAACAACCTGCCTACATTAAAAATTGCAGGATCAGGGTACTAATCAGTGAGCTCCCTGTGGCAGAGAATCTTAGTCCTTTTTACAGTACTGATCAAAATGCCAGTACTACCCAAACAGTATCTACTGCTTATTTTTCTAGGCAAAAAGGCTGTATATTTTTTATTTCCCTTTAATACAAGAAGAGGGAATCTGGATCCTCAAGTCTATATTAGGTAAATTTTAATAAAAACACATCATTTCAGTTCAACATTAATGTAGATCTTAATCTATGCTGGTGTCTTTAATAAAACAGACTAAGTAGAACTTCTGAGGGGGAAAAAGGAAATCTTTAAAGGTCCCAGTGTTGCAATGCGATCCATGCAGAAAGTGATTTCATGCAGAATCAGTGACTTGCATCATAATCTGATATACCTGTTTAGAAGAAAACATTAACCAAGTCCTTTTAATTAACTTACCTTAGTTGTGATTTACTGCATTTCATCAATATTGTGTGCAGGAATTGTTTGCGCTGCTTGTCTGTCCACAGATCAAACCAGTGGCTTATAAGTCCAACTCTTTCCTGAAAGAGCTATGAGGAAACATAGTATTTTCATACACAATTCAGCATGTCATATAACCCTGTGTAATTCTGCTGCATGTCTAACAAAGCTTGTAGATCGTATGATCCTACAAAGAGAAATGGGACTGAGACCCAGGTTGTTTCAGTGATACTGGTCACTGATCTGCTCTATAAAATGAGCCAAGCCATTTCACATCTCTACCTGTTCCCTCTCATAACTTTTTATCTGTCTTCTCTGTTGAATACATGAGCTCTTCAGGGACAGTGTATAGGGGCTGGGTTCTCTGCTGGGACCTTTAGCTTCTACTGGCACGCAACAAAGAGCAGCACTAATGAGTAGATTATTATGGAGAATTGTGCCCATTGTTCTTATTCCTTTCCTGTCTGGATAAATCAGCTCTCTCATGTATTTACAGAGCATCCCTGGCTGTATATCTGCCTATGATGATCTTTGACAGTAGGGATCTTGATGGAGACCAGACATTAATTTTTGTCCTCCTTAGCACTGGGTTTTGTGGGGGGTGGCATTCCTTCCAAGTCAGTGGTTTTCAATCTGTGGCCCGCAGACCCCTAGGGGTCCACAATAGATGGCAATGATCAAAAGTATGTGAATACCCACACTTACAATTCAAAGGGGTCCGCACATCCATTTGAAATTTCCAAAGGAGTCAAAAGGTTGAAAACCACTGCTCTAAGTTAAAAGGAGGACCTCAGCTTACCTGCCCCCTGAAGGCACAGTCTACTTCCTCTCACTCCCTCTCTTCCAACTGCTGTTCAGCAAAGATCTCATTCCTTACACCTTCTCATTTTCCCAGCAGGTATGAACATGGACACAGAAGTGCATTTAGAAGCAGGCTTTGGGGAAATATACCCATTTAATTAAGAACAGTTTCTAATCTGATTAAAGAAAAAGAACCATTTACTTTTTAAAGTGCCAGTGTTTCAATGCATACATTAGTTATTAAAAAGAAAACACATCATAACGATTAATGAAATAGGATGTTCTCATCTTACTTCTCTACTGTGTTAGAGACAATTGTGAACCCACTGATGCCGTGGCCTCCAACCTTTTTAAGTAGAAAATCACCTTTGGCATTTAAAAGCAACCCAACATCTACTGTGCACTACCACCACCCCACCCAGCAGGTAAGTCTGTGGGGAGGCAAGGAGGGGGCAGATCGAGGCAGGGGGAGAAAAAATTATTTGGGGGCATGCCTCCCCAGCGGGTAAGTCCCACCCGACCAGGGCCCCACTCAACTTACCTCTGGTCCTGCCTCTGCGGCACTGTCCCTCACCACGGGGGCTTCAATCTAGCCCCCGCCCCTTCCCCCCCCACAGACTGACCTGCTGGGCTGGGGCGCACGTGTGCATGCACACAGGCACTCAGCCCCCCACACCAGCCTCGGATTGATTCCAAGAGGCTCCAAGATCTATTGGTGGATTGAAATCCATTGGTTGGTAACCACTGCACTAATGGATACAGTAGGTGTACTGTAAACAAGTCTCAAGCCTAATGGGGACAATGCCTGTTGCTGACAGAAATCATGGTGGTAGTATTCTTTATTATTTATCTGTATTACAGTGGTACCTGAACCCAGAGCCCTAATTTTTTAGGCCAACGGCTCTTAACCAGGGTGCCATAAGATCTTTACAAGAGTGCCATGGGGTGCCTCACAATGTTAGCACATTTAGTTTTACAAACAATTCAGAAAATATACCCAGAGATTTCAAATAGAAATCCATAGTTGTGGTCTTTTTGAGTTCTTTGCAACAGAAAAGCTGTACTATTTTTTTTCACGCAGGCGAAAAGAGAGTGAAAACCAAAAAGTGACATTTTCCAAGGGGTGTCCTGAGTCTATCCAAGGATGCCTCAGATCTAAAAAGATTGAGAACTGTCTTATGCCCTCTGCAAACATATAAAAGGAGTCCCTACCACATTTTTATTAAAGGATCAAATAAAATAAATTTGCAGCAATTCAAAGGCAAGACATTTTTATAGCTTTCTTTCATATGAGATTGTTTCCAATATATTTACCCATTTACTTTTACCATACATACCTCAGTGTGCATACTGTAAAATCTCCCCCTGCCACTGTGTTGTTAAATACGAGTACAGTATTTTTAAGATACATGGCAATTTGTACCCGTGCATTTCATTCAAATCAGGACAATAATTTCTACCTGAATTTAACTTACATGCTTGTTGAATGATTTGTTTGCAATAGGTGTCCAAGCACTGAGTCTTGTATGCAAGCTCCCAGTGGCCTGGATTTGACCAGATGACTCCCTGATGGACTTTTCCGTACCTTCAGCAAGGAGCCCTAAGCTCCGTTGTTTAATGGCGTGTGGGGTAGGTGTTACAGAAGCTGTTGTCATCATCACTGCAACAATAGTTCCATCAGTTATAGACTCACTACACAGTTCAGACCTTTGCTAGAAACCACCTAGACATTTCAATAAATACATTGATTCCTAGAAGAGAGAAGAGTACAAATCTGGATTCAGATCTGAATTTCAGTACCAGCACTCTGCAGTTGACATTCTATTTGAAGCTGAAGCATGAGGTCAGAGTATTATGTAAAGAAAATGTTAAAAATAACTTGGGGCCTGGACATACAACAGCTGAACACCAACGCAGTTTTGTACACTGATGTAAAATGCACCAGAACCTGGAGCAGACAGACAACCTGTTATCCTTGAGTAGTTATTATGGCACCTCACCATTACATAGCATGGGAGCAGTTGCTTTGAACAGCTACCCTAGGAAACTACAGCCACATACACCACATATGTTGGTGTAACTTACACTGGTGCATTTTTACTGCTATTTTTTCCTGAAGAAACTCTACACAAACTTCCAATGACTTACCTTAAGGTAGGGACTTAGTCATTTTTGTCCCCACTTTTTTTTTACTAGTGTAAAAGCAGCTTACATCAGCACAAACATGTCCTGTGTCTAGGCATTTGATGTTAATCTTACATTTTACAATCTTATTTATGAGTGGGATAAATGTATCCATAGATAATCCCTTCACTTGAACTATGACATTCATAAGTGAGGCTAGGACTGGTTAGTGAGTACTGTACCTAGATAACAGGCTCCCCGAGAAACCCAAGGTGCCACCAGAAATGGCACTCAGGAAGGATTGATTTGTAACAGGCCTGTCAACCAGAACTTTGAGCTTGAATTCTCAGCTTCACAAGAAACAATATTATCTTTTTCTTTTAAATGAAAATTGATACAGAAATAAAAATGTAATTAATTATAACACAATTCAAATGGGGATAAAGTGCCTTCTTATCAATGAGTTCTTCAATATAAGGACTAGCATCAGATCCAGTGAATCTCCTAGTGCCAGCCCTGTGACCATGGATCTGGCACTGCCCCCACTCCCTGATCACAATCTTGGAGCAGGGTGGAGGCTTGGAGCAGGCAGCTCACACAAGCAGGAACCAATCTCCCGTTCCCTGGTGGCCAGCTGACCAGGGGCCAGCAGATTTGCTCCCAGTCAGGCATCTATACAAGCACTACTGCACAGTAAGTAATTGCAAGTAAATTTGCTGCTTACATTTGCAGGTAGAAAATTTACTCACAATTAGCGAGGTTTAGTATGCAGTAAACATGTGCATGTGTAGATGCACACACTTCCTGGGCGAGTCTACATGAGATGCTACATCACTGGAGTGACGAGCTATGGCAATGTAGTTTGTTGCTACAGCAATGTAGCATTGGCAGGCACAAATTGTAATGCCAATGCTACTGCACAGTAGTGACAAGCTATGTTGCTGTAGCTTGTCACTACAGTGACATAGCATCTAAAAATAATCATGCACTACCAGGACGTGCGTTAGCAAGTACTAAATGACTGTGCAGTATCAAATGAACAGTCGGGGCACATGTTGACGTGCCCTCTGCATAGTAAGCTATGCTACTACACAGTAAAGTGTCTCATGTAGATGCACCCTGAGACAACTGTTCCTTTTGTTATCAATTAGAGCAAGTACTGAACAGGTAGAAAGAATAAACTGTGCTTGCTAACACAGAAAACTTTCCTATTTCCAGCTAAAATACAATGGTGGGAAGGCCTGGGAAACATACATTATGACAAGCCCCTTCTATAGTTATTACATATTGAGTAAATATTTATTCTAAAGACAAAAGGTCTCCAGGATTTGTATTTTTCTAACAGTACGTCTTCATTTTAAAGGCATTAAAAGAGTAAAGTTATAAAGGGAACTGTAACCAGGATAGAACATGCTTACCCAACTTATAAACTGGCTGGAACAAAAGGGCATGGCACAAACACTCCATGAAATTTATATAGGTTAGAAATGGTCAGGACTTCCCCTGGCCCTTCACCTAGAAGGTCGTACTCTCTGCAATGGGTACGATACTGGAACCAGATCTCTACTGCACATAATAGACTGCCACCTGCAGGTATAAACCAATCATGCCCACTCTACCCAATTTATTAACCTCACAGCATAAAAAAAAATCCAGTTCATTTTTTGGTTTGGAATCTCCACTGGTGTTGTTCTTCAACCTGCATGATAGGCCTCTATGCTACTACGTTCTGCATTTTCTAGTGACAGTAACAAGACTAAAATAAAAACAAAGGCTCTTCTCCCATAAAAAAGTTGTTCACAGTATATCGAATGCTTTACCTCTCGAGAGGGGTATGGCTTGCATCTCTTTCTCTCTCTCTCTCTGATGAAGCTCTTGAAAAGCTCCAGTGAAAGCTGGAATTACTGCTGTATTAGACAAGGGTCAGTGCTCCCAAATCTCCATAGGAACTGCACAACAAGCTACACCCTGGGCTCTCAGCCAGAGCGGAATTCAGCTGTGTTTGCCTTAAATGTGCCCCACTCTTAAAGAGGAAATGAACAGGACTGGGGAGAAAGGAGTGGTTCAGATTCCAGCTGAGATGGACAACTTGCTGATGGTCACAGGGAGACTACAAGACACCACAGTGATGCAGCCATGGGGGAAAAAAAAGCAAATGCAAGTCAACGATGTCATCAGGCAAGCTATTTCTAATAGAGATATAGAAATATTAATACCTTTGCACAACATACTAGTACATTACACAGTACATAATTCTGGCCTGCCACATTCAAAATAGAAAAATTAAAACTGGAACAGGTAGAGACAGTCCGTCAGGATGGTCAGGTGAATGGAGAACCTATCTTGGCAGAAGAAACTAAAAAAGCTTTGCTTATTTAGCCCAGTAAAATGATGGCTAAGAGAAATATGATTGTTGTCTCTAAATATATTGGGAGGTAATCCCTAAGGAGCCAAGAGCTAGTTAAGAGGCAACATTGGTGCAAGAACATGAACTGTCTAATTTCCAGCTGCATTTGTTTAATTTCAAACCATAAGAGCAGTGAGGTTCTGGAACAACTTTTAAATAGTAGTAGTGGGAATAAAATACCTAATATTAAAATAGAGCTTAATCTGTTTATGAAAGGTTTATATAATGTGGCAGGCTGCATTTTCAGGATACTGCACACAATAATTCTAAGGCCCTTTCCAGAATTGTGCTTCCTAGATGCACAAACATGATATGAAGATATAGGCAAGATGCCCCTTACGTTCTCATTCTAACTCTCTCAGTCACCCCAGATATTTTGGCTGAGTGGGAAAAGGAATGGTAAATAGAGATGGGTGTACAGGGTTGTAGTCCTGGGTGCTGCCTGAGGGTGGGGAGGGGCTCCCTCCTTCTCTATTCCCCCTGCACCCCTCCTGAAGAGGCTCCAGCAGCCAGGGCAAACATGCAGTCACAAGATCAGCGCCAGCAACAGCCTCACTTCTAAGGGAAGCCACAGCTACAGGGGACAAAAGTACCAGTGCAACAAGAAGTCAGAAAGTTAATGCTCTCATCCCCTGTCTATTTTTAAATCACCTCTACATATTTCTGTGGCAGTGCTCATCCCCCACCCTGGGCACAACTTTTTTATTCATGTCTCTGATCATTGCAGCTCACAAGAACACCCATCCCAGCTGGTGAACAATGCTGCAAATAGGTCAGCAACCCTTACACAGGAAGAAGATTGTTTTTTTGTGAACACCTATTACAGAAGTAGGTAAGATTTTCCAAATAATAAAGCTTGAAAAATCAGGTTACAAAAGCAAACAATTTTCACAGGCCATGAAGCCAGTTAGAGGCACCATAAGAAACGGAAACCTGTTGTATTCCAACATCCAATATCCTCAATGATGTTTCTAAGAAATAGCAAAGCCTCCTAACATTTGCCTTCGATAGGTAATTTCACAAGAAATGGACTATTTCTAAGATACTGCCTAACTTTCCATAACAATGCTGATTAAAATATTTGCAACTATTTAAACAAACCACACAATATAAGCAGTTAGGTGTGGAAATATCTACACAATTCATAAAATAAACCCAGAAATTTCAAATAGAAATCCATAGCACTGAAACATTCTGACCTGTTGTCAGAGTTCTTTGCAACAGAAAAACTGGGTTTTTTTTCAGAATCAAGAAATAAGAGAAAGCTAAGAACTAGCTTTTTCCAAGGGGTACCTTGAGTCTAAGAAGCTTGAAAAGCAATGATTTAGACAGCAGTAGGTTTGGCAAGATTTTATTCTTTATATTTGGTTACTTTTTATCTAGAATGTTGCCCAGAAGGCAGTAGCTTATTATCTCAATGGCAATAAATTGAGGTAATAAATGTCCTAGTAGAAACAAAATACATTCAGGTTTGGTGATAAGGTTTCCTTGACAGGGGGAGTGAAGTAGGGAATACTAAGCATCTAGCTCAACAAGAAGACATCAGTGGCTTGACATCTAGTTGAGAAAAAGATACTGACTTCAGCACCTTGGTTGAAGTTTCAGGCACTCTGGAGACTCAAAATGACCCCAATAAACTGGCAAAAGCATCATAAATCAACTGAATGCAGTTCTGTTTCTACTAGGATGTTTGTCAGCTCAATTTATTGCCAGTGAAATTATAGTGAGAAAGTTCTTCTACTATCCAACCTAAAAAGCCCCTGCTGCAATTTAAGACCATTGCTCCTAAACCTGTTCCCTTTTCCACAGAGAATAGTTTGTTTCCATCCTCTTTATAATCTGCCTTCACGTATTTGAAGACTGTTATCTAATCCCTATCTTAGTTTTCACTTCTCCCTACTACATAATCCTTGTTTTTTCAGTTTTTCCTCATAAGTCATGTTCCAAAGATCTCTAATTTTTTTTTCCCACTCTCTCTCTCCTAGATCCTTCCTCGTTTGTTTTTCTTGAAGTGTAGGGCTCAAAACTGAACTCAGTACTCCCAAGTGAGGCCTCACAAGTGCTGAATGGAGTGGAAGGTTCAGTAAGAGTCAGTATGCTATTGTAGAATTGCACTGGGGGGTGGGGGGGGTTGCAACAGGAACAAACAATTGACTCAAATTCAGTTTATGGTCCAGTCTAATCCCTACCTCATTTTCATCAATGTGGCACTTAGTCCAGTTTGTATTTGTGCATGCAGTTGTTCTGTCCCAAGTATCAGATGTTGAAATACAACAAGGACAAGTTATAATGCAAATGATGTTTAGAATTCAAAACTCTGTGATTTAAATGATGCAGAGGGGTAGCTTGTATGCTAAATCTAGGTGGGTGTTCTTTTAAAATGCTGATCTGGGAGAGAAAAGAAATCTAAGTTGCAGAAATCCACACCACACAAGAGTTGATTATGGAGAGAGAACTTTACTACATAAAATGTGGGTAGTGAATTTTAAAATGATTTGTATTAATAAATTCATTAACACTTTTAATGTCATCATTGATCAATAAAACACTGAAAAAGTATGCAGATTGTCCACATATTGAGTAAGAAGGCAGCAACATCACTGCCACCTTAGTTAAAATCACAGCAATGCGAGAGAACATATATACATAAGTGAATTCAGACATGAACAATGCTGAATAGGAAAATGTTCTTTCAAGTTTTCCCAAATTTTATATTTAATAAGGCAACAACGTACAGCATGGCAGCACAAGCACTGTAGTTAGATCTCTAGATTCCAACCCGGATGCACTGCAGTGCTCAAATCAGCTAATACGAAAAAAAAATTGCATTTGAATTATAATTCTTTGTTGTGCAAAAAAGGCTTCACTGGAAAAATAAAATACAGCTTCAACATTTCACTGGAAAAATAATATACAGCTTCATGGAGATGTCCCCAAATCAAGAAACCGACACTCTTAACTGGTGGTAGTATTTGGAATATCTTGAGCATCAGCCAAGTGTAGTTTTTGTCTAGAACAAAGTGTTAAGGAGTTATATTTTTCAAATAATGAAGCACAGCTACGTGCATATTTACTTTGTATATAGCTGCGATGCATTGGTATTTAATATTTATACAGAAAGTTAGACTTAAGGAACAATACAATACATGTCGCTTGAGAAACTGGGATACTACTATGCATTACTGCATTTATACACAAAGCCAAAGTGTGCATGGCAAAGAGGAAACGCACCGTCTGCATTTAAACAGCTCATTGTCTGTATCTTTTCTTTCACTGCAGAGACTAAATGGACTGAGGCAAGTTTTCCCATAAAAAATAAAAGTAATACACAATAAATGTTTATTATTTTTCTTGCTTAAAAAGATACTAATTCAGTCTCTAAATGTGAACTTAACAGTAAAACCTTAAAAATGGGAATCCTGACATTTAAAAACTGGAGGATGGAGGTATCTAGAAAAAGAATAGCCCTGGTTATGTGCATTTATGTTTAAAAAGTAGTAAACAGTCCGGCTCAGCATTTTGGTGTACATACCATTAACTGTTGGGTTGGTATGAGGTCATCTAAAATGTGTACCAGAATCTTTGTATTAAGATGCAACATTTCTTTTCATGCAAAAATGTTTACCATAGTTAAATTAGATATTTAACCAAAAAAGGATACATAGAAGAATTCAGTTCTTCCAGCTGCAATGTAAATGGACAAAGGATATGAAAAAGCACTGTAGTTCATTAATCAAATAAACATGTCAGAAGTATAATTACTAATGGTACCCAACATAAATTTCGCCATTACAAAATGCAACACAAATTTTCATAAAAATACTTCAAATTAATAGTACTGATGGTCTAAAAACAAAGATAAACCTACATGTTACAGGAAGTTTAAAGAAATTATGTTTATCAAATACTTAACTTCATTAATGTTTACAAAATAAGGTGTTGAATAACGGAAAAAGTATTAAGGTTAAAAATAAAAGTCCAGATTCTCTTCTACATCTGCTTTTCACCAGCTGCAAGTAGAAGGATTACAACTGAGATGACTGCAGTCCCCTGATATTCAGACTGGCTTAAACAATCTTTAACTCACACCAGTTTACACTTTAGGCTGCACTATAGTGCACTACCTAGCAAAATTGCTCCAAGGAGCAGTCTGTAACACAGGACATAGATATTTTCTCAAACAGGGGGAACATCTTAGTACATTAAACCACGTTTTTTTCAATACACCTAACCCTGAATCCATACGTCTTAAAGTTGTACAGAAAATTGTAACCCTATTCACTGCTACATGTATTCCTGAACTCAGATCTAGTTCTGAGGAACACTTTCCAAGGGAAGCCTCCTTCTTCCTTTACTTTACTTACTTACATCTGATAGCAGCCTGTCCAAATTGGAGTCACTGGCTATTTTTCTCTTATCTTCAGGAAGTTCTTCCAACTCCCCATATAGTTCCAAGTTCAAGCGTGCCAGCTTCTCCTGCATACTCCGCACATGTTCCATCTGTTCTATGGAACATTCATTTCCTGAAAAAAGGAAAAAAAAAAAAAGATTATCAGACTTCTGAAAAAGTTTTACAGTGAGGAAGACAGCAAAGGCCAGATTACGTGTCCATCTTAGGTTTCCATGCTACATGCGAGAAACTATTTCAATATATTTTCCTTCCACATGATTCGTTTGTGGCTTCTATATTCGCATTTGATCTGATAATAAATTACTATGAATGTATTAATACCAGCCAGTTCAATGGCAAGAGAAGGACATTTTAACGAGGTGGGGCATTAATCACCCTGCTCTGAGTGAAGGATGTATATGCTAGTTTTAGTTCATAATTATCTCTTCTCTAGACCAGACCTTTATTTTTTAACTTAAAGAAGCTGGTCTGACTAATCTTTTTCCTATGCTAGGTTTAAGTTCAAGCACCTGAGGCCAGAAGAGCCTATCCAGAGTCCTATCATACAGAAAATTGTGACATCATTTCGTAATCAAGCAGAAGAGTAACCTAGGCCATGCAAGTTAAAAGCAAAATATCTTCAACTCCACTAGACTCCATCCAGCTCCTACTGAAATCAATGGTAAAGCTCCACATAATCCAAGTGCTTTATATACTACAAGATCAGGGTGCTAAATAAGAGCAAGCTTATTTCATGGTTACATATTAAGTACTGCAGTGCAAACGTAGTTTTAAAACTGTTACTATATGCCAAAATAGCAAGTTTGATATGCTGTACCAATTACAATACTAAATCTTGGAACAATACACAGACATTTCAATTAATAGGGTCACTATCACAAAAAACGAATTTGAAGTGAGAGATCGTGTTCAACTGAGCTTTAATCAAACAAAGACCAACATGCTGGTCTCAAACAAAATTAATCCACCTGTAGCTACTGTAGCTAGAATATCTGCTTGCAAAAACTAGTATCTTATACCTGCGAAGGCAGCAGTAGTGCAAAGAAAACCCACATATTTACCAAATGCTTGGAGTTTGCCAGAATGGAAGTCGTTCAAAAGGCTCAGTAGTCCCTTTTCCATCTCCTGGACATCTGATACATCTGTGAGAAAAGAGTGCTGTATTGGAGCGGCCTGTGCTCCTTTTCCTTCTGTTGCAGGAGGTTTGGCTTTCTCTTTTGTTATTCTAAAAGGAAAAAGGATACATTTAATTTTATTTTACTTTTATTTAAAAGAAAAGGGGGGCATAAGGAGGGATGGGGGGGAGAGAGAGAGAGAGACTATTTCTTCCTCTGGAGACTATTTTAAGAGCTTAATCAAGTTATAAAAAATGGATCTCAGATTTGCCTTAAGCACAAAGACTCATACCACTATCATAACAATAACGAAGGGATCCAAGAATCTGCTTTCCTGTTATCACTATAAAGTATAAGAGAATGTACAGATTTCCCTTTTAAAAGTATTAAGAAAAAGACTTTGGATTTCCCCAAAACTTCAGTTAAGCAGATTCTTGGGACTCCAGTTAGCATCAAACCGGGCCCCTGGGATGTTAAAATGGCAGCCCAATTCACAGAGTAGATACTAAAACAGTGGCAGTTATTTCTAAAAGCTGCTTTAAAATTCATAAAATATGCATTAATGGTTGGTGATTATTTATCTAAGCTTTTAACTCATCACTAGGGACCTATTTTCCCTTCAATAAAACCTCATGAAAATCAAATGTATTCTTGAATACTCTATAATATATACAAGCATATAGAATGTTTAAGTAAATTCAGTGTTATTATTTAAATTCTCCTGACGCAAATAGTTTTACTGGCTGAATATAACCTGCAAACATGGATTTAAACTGTGGTATATTGTCATATGACCAGTTGCGTTTGAGGCAAGTTAATAAAACTTGACCATCCAGAGACATGATCTGTACATAAAAAATATTTTAAGTCAAAATATAACAACTGGAGGCAAATTCTTCTTAAATCAATGCTGTTACTTTCCTGCCACATTTTGCCACGAGGAATAATTCTACAATTTTCAAATGTTACTGAGTCCTATAACTGCAAATCACAAATCAAACAATATCAGCTGTAACTACAGTAGATGTATGCTTTGCCTTTTGGTTAGTCTATTAAGCATTTCCCTCAAAACACTGCATTTTTTCATAAAATGCAGGGGATAAAGACTATATACTGTAGCTCTGAATGATAGTCAACAAGCTTCCCCATTCTGCCAATACTAGTTCCTTTACATAGTTTTCAATGTAGCATTAGCAGATTAGATAAACATTTGTAATAGTTGATCTACTAGTGTTTTTAGAATTTTTGTTCTCAGTCTTGGTCACTCTGACAACTTGCAGTAGTTCACTGTTTAACAGTTAACTAATACTTTTCATTCAAACCCCACCACTTCCATCAAACCTTTCACTTGCATATCACTGGGCATATATACACATGCGATTAATGTGCGTGAAGGCTCCAGAGCTTATTGCTCCAGAGTTTTCATGAGTAGCAGCAAACATGTAGACACTGTCCTGGGCTGGGGCACAGGGTTTGCTAGTGTGGGGCAAGCCAGCAGGCAGCCCCTGCACTGAAAAACCCTGAGCTCCACGCAGCCGCTTGGCAGCACATGGAGACAGGGGGAACAGTATGAATTATAAGAGCACCTGGTGAAAGAAACTGGTTCATGATAGCTTGTGCCAGATACACAAGCACACCCCTGTCTACATAGATAGAGTCAAAGTGCTGTGGTCCTAGGCACATGCATAGACACTGCTCCCAGGAGCGGATGACTCCTGTGTGAGGTGCACCAGACTTTATTGCTCTGCCTTAATTGCATATGCAGATACACCCTTTGCATCTTGAGTTGGTCTATAAAAGGTGCATAGGCCTACCTGACCTTCTGATAGATGCAGACACATACAGGTTTTGTGAACAAAAGCTCACTCCATCAAATGCCAATATAGATCAGAAAGCCAGGCAGAGATGTACCTTTATGGACTAAACTACACTAAATATCAAGTCTACTAACGTTCATCTCTACCCATGGTGCAGGTCCATATGTTCACTTTATCAGCCATTGATGTGTTACAGAGCTCCCAAATTCTTGAATTCCCATTCAGGGAAAGAAGGGATGACCCTCCCCCTTGATAGTGACCTGAAGTGTGTTTTGCCCCACAATCCTAGCCCAAACTCATCTCCTTATGTAACTGCACTGCACCCAGGAATCAGCTGCTTCTCCCGATGCTGTTGCAGCACCCCAGGGACTTTCCCTCACCCCCACCGCACGGCCACAGTTCAGGATGCCTAGCCATCAGAACCTCCTACCCCCAGAAGATGCTTCCTCAACCTGACAAAGGTATTTATATCCCAAAACCTGCAAAGAAGAATTTTTCCCAAGTCTTTGAGTTGCTCTAATACAAGGCATCACATTTACTCCAAGAACTTTGTCTGAGGAAGATGGCCCGGCATTCATTCCAAAGTTGGCCCCACTCCATCCCAAACGGGCGCTTGGCCCAATGAGAGGGATCTCCCCGCCTCACCCCCCGAGAAATACCTGCTGCTCCCAGAATGCCAGTGGCCAGGGCTACAACCCTGCTCCTGGGCTACCCCTCATCACCTGAGAAGCCCCAGGCCCATGGGGGGAATGAGGAGATGGGTCAGTATAAACCAGCAAAGTTGCCCACCCCCCGCGGGCGTTCCAACGCCTCAGTGCCCCCAAACGCGCGTGCGCTCTCAGCCGTTGGCCTTGACCGTTGGCTTGGAATGGGCAGGTTACTTCCCTCCGCCCCCCCGCGAGCGCGAGGCCAGGCCCGGCGGCGCCACCCACCGCTTCAGCTTGGGCCTCTGGGCCGCGGGCTGCGGCGCGGCGGGGGCAAAGGCCGTGCTCTTGCTGGAGGGCAAGGCACCCTTCTTGGCGCCGGCGGCCGGGGTGGGATGGGTGCTGGAGGCCTTGGGGCTCCGCCGCTTCATCTTCCGCTCCTCCATGACGGCCGCCCACCCCCAGCGTCCCGGAAGCGACCGCCCAGCGGGCGGCCCTGGTCCCGGCCCTAGCCCCAGGGTCACATCCCGCCCCGGCCCGGCCGGCTTGTTTAGGGAAGTGACGCTCCTGAGTCATGTGACCGAGAGGTCGGGGAAGGGCCCGGGGGGGGGCAGCGCGGTGTATGCTGGGAGTTGGAGTATGAGTCCAGCAAGGAGCCCGGGAGCGAGCGAAAACGGGTTCCCAACATTCCCCGCGGCAGCAGGGCAAGGAGCCCTGGGAGGGAGGAGGGGAAGGCACCTTCCTGGCCACGCCCCCTCGCGGAGTCCGGCTAGAGCGGGCTTGGCTCCGCCCCCGTCGTGCCCTCCCTCCAATCACAAGGCAGCTCCTGCCAGCCAGCCTCGTCCCCGCCCCGCCCCGCCCCCTTAGCTTGTGAAGCCATGCCCTGTGTAGGGGCAGGAGGCAGGGTCGACAGCGAGGCGGCTCTGGCTGCAGCGCGGAGTGGGTAGCAGCCGCGGGAGTAGGGGCAGGCCACGACCCCACGGTCCCCTCAGCAGCCCGGAGCCCCTCCCCCCTCTTCCGCATTGCCAGGGGCTGGTTGCTTACCCAGCGCTGATCTTTATGCTGCAGAGTGAGCATGTCCTCAGCTATGTCTGTTGGCTTAGGAAAGGCCCAAATAGCAGCGTGTCGGGTCAGTAGCCCTCAATAAAGAGCTGAGATTAGCCAAAGAAGAATTTTGGCTGAGGAAAACAGCCCAGCATTCATTTGAAGGCGTATGGGCCAAAACCCGTATCGGCCCACCCCAAACCACACGTCTCCATGCTGTCAGAAGCTGGGCGCTACCCACCTGAAGCTGGGTGCTCATGTGCCAGCCTGCCAACCTGCCAACCAACAGCCCCCCAGAGGGGTTGCCCTTTGCCCAGAATAAGGAGCTGAGTTTGAGCTAGGATTATGGGGTAAAACCCCCTTCAGATCATTGCACACCATATGTCCCTGTGCCCAGGAGACTCTCCTGAAGAAGTACCGGCTCAACCCAAAGCTTGATTTTTGCATGCCAGCCTTCAAACAGGGGTTGCCAGCTCTTAGCTATTCTGAGAGATTTTTTTTCCCCAGCATGACATAATGTCATTAATTCAACCCATTCACAATATCAGTCTCTGAGACTGCTTTCAATAGCCACCGCTGATTCTGGTAGACTCCTGACCAAACCAGGGGAATTGGCAACCTACTGCCAACCAATGCCCACCCAGGCTTGTGTGCTGTTTACATAGCACTGAATAAGAAGCGGATTTTGGGCAGGGATTATGGGTGAAATTTTTTTCATGTCACTCCAAACCACAGGTCTCCGCCACCAAGAGACTCTCCTGAAGAAGCCTGGGCAGGGTGGTGCCCAATCCAAAAGTCATTTTTTTGTATTGCAGCCTGCCTACTGATAAGGAGCCAGGAAAAGGGAATAGGGAACCAACTTCAGCCCCATCCCTTTGGAGCACTTGGTGTCAACCTCTGACCCTCATGTCTGTCCCTGTTATTGTTTTAAGTCAGCACTTTTCAAAGTTGAGCTGAGCCCCCCTTTGAGTTACAATTTTGTTCATGCCCCCTTCCATCCAGACAAAAACACACATGCAAAATATGCTTTCATAAACATAACAGAAACTAACACAAATGACCTAATTATATTACCTATGCCCGTCAATTTCAAATTCCCAAATACTGTACTTACCACTTACTGTGCAGGGTGTGCCTGTTTCTCTGCAGACAATTTACCAATTTGTGGTGAGATTTTTTAAACGAATACTCTGAGGTTGTCCCACACTTCCAGTCTCCAATGGTACTTTTCACAGAGGCAGTATCTGTGTGAGGTTCTGTACAGCTGCAGCATAAAGAACCAGAACTGAACAGGATCAGGAATCTCAGAGCCTGGAGATCACTACTTAACAGCTTCCATTAATTTATTCTGAGAGCCTGTGGAGTGGGCTCTTGTTTTCCAACCCTACAGTTCTTCCACTTAATCTGTTCTCTGAAGAAGTGTTTCTCCCAACAGTGAGGGAAATCTCTCACCCCACGCTGCCATTCATAAGTAATTCCTGTTACAATGAGCAGCTGAACTGGGACAGCCATGTATTGATTCATGAACCTGCTCAGGCCACTCAGCACTTCTGTCAGGTAGCATTCCTTTAAAAGGAAAATAATTTACCTCATTTGCCACACAGTTGAGATGTGCATTTATTGTGTGGGCTGGGTTTGCTCTGGGGGCCGTGGGGAGCTCCTTTTTCCAAAATTTTAATTGGCTTTTCCTCCTGAAGCTTCCCCCTGCTCCCTGCAGAAGGGATGCGGAGCACACAGCTCCTATGGCAGAGCCAAGTACTTCTCTCCATTGGGAGCCTCTCACGTGTGCCTGGTTTGTATGCTGGTCCTGCTCCAGCCCACCCAGAACTACATTCTTGTGATTTTAAAAATTATTATTATTATTATTATTATTATAAGTAAAATATGTCTTGCAAAATTCCTCTCTCCCCCACATTCCTTCATGCCCTTCAGGCAGGCGTGCCCCACTTTTTGAAAATTGCTGTTTTAAGCTGTCCCAGTAAATCAGTTGGTGCACACCTGCAAGTCCCTTTTAACAACAAGAGAGGGCACTACCCATGATCTTTCTGTGCCTCAGATAGGTCTGGGCCTGTTATGGTGCTGCAACATTTTAATTGCCTTTTCCTCCTGAAGCTTCCCTCTGGTCCCTGCAGAAGAGATGCAGAGCACACAGTTTCCATGTCGCAGTGGACATAGTCTTTCTGGACTTTAGGAAGGTCTTCGACACTGTCTCTTACCCCATTCTCATTAAAAAATTAGACGACTGTGGCACTGATGCCTACACAGTCAGATGGGTCACAAATTGGCTGGAGGGCTGCACCCAGAGAGTGGTGGTGGATGGGTCATTTTCAACCTGGAGGGAAGTGAGCAGTGGGGTTCCCCAGGGCTCGGTCCTCAGGCCTGCACTGTTCAACATCTTCATCAGTGAATTGGACGAGGGGGTGAAAAGCTCCTTGTTCAAGTTTGCGGATGACACTAAGATGTGGGGAGAAGTGGACATGTTAGAAGGGAGGGACAGGCTACAAGTAGATCTAGACAGGTTTCATGGGTGGGTGGATGAGAATAGGATGGGCTCAACACTGACAAGTGCAAGGTACTGCACCTGGGAAGGAAGAACCAGCAGCATACCTACAGGCTGGGGAACTCCCTTCTTGTCAGCACAGAGGCAGAAAAGGATCTTGGAGTCATCATTGTTTCCAAGACGAACATGGGCCGCCAATGGGAGGACATAGTCAGGAAAGCTAACCGCACCTTGTCATGCATCCACGGATGCATCATGAGCAGGTCCAAGGAGGTGATCCTACCTCTCTATGCAACATTGGTCAGGCTGCAGTTAGAGTACTGCGTCCAGTTCTGGGCGCTGCACTTCAGGAGGGATGTGGCCAGCATTGAGAGGGTCCAGAGGAGGGCCACTCACATGATCAGGGGGCAGCAGGGCAGGCCCTACAAGGAGAGGCTATGGGACCTGAACCTGTTCAGTCTTCACAAGAGAAGGCTGAGAGGGGATCTGGTGGCCATCTATAAATTTACCAAGGAGGACCAGCAGAGAATGGGAGAGACCCTGTTCCCCCAAACACTACCAGGAGTAACTAGGAATAACAGCCATGAGTTGACTGAAAGTAGATTCAGGCTGGACATCAGGAAGCACTACTTCACAGTCAGGGCAGCTAGGATCTGGAACTAACTTCCAAGGGAAGTGGTGATCGCTCCTACCCTGGGGGTCTTCAAAAGGCAGCTAGATAATCACCTGGCCAGGGTCGTTTGACCCCAGCATTCTTTCCTGCCCGTGGCAGGGGATCGGACTTGATGATCTGCTTAGGTCCCTTCCGACCCTACCAACTATGAAACTGAGACAAAATAGAGATGAGGGAAGGTAGTTAGGGATTTGCTATAGGTGGTCTTCAGTCTGTGGTATGGGAGTAATACCTAATTTATGTACAAAATAGTCACTCCCTCTTCCAATACCAGGCACTTGAAATGTGGATTAGGGTTGATGACCATCACTGTCACAAGTGGTGTAAGCTCAGAGTGAAGGTTCTTTCTGTGCTCACAGCAGTTTCAGAAATCTCCAGAAAATGACAGTGTTCCTCTGGCTACTAAAGATGATAGTAAGTGATATTAGCTAAAAGTCACTGTTCATCTTTTGCTGGCCCAGTATATTCCATTTATCACAGCATAAATGTATAGTGCGATACTCACTGTAGAGAATTGATCACCAGTGGTCAAAGACAGTAGAGTTGTAGCTTGCTATTCTTCTTTACTTAACTAAGCTCTCTTCTCTGCATCTCCTGCTGCAGGAGTGTCAAACTCATTTGGGTTGGACTAGGGACAGGAGTTACACATAAACCGGTTTAAGTGATCAGAAACTGGTTTAAACCTGTAACAGAACAGAAGTTCAGTGCACATGAACCACTTTCAAAATGGCTGAAACTGGTTTAAGATGAAGTTGGTTGAATGTAGTATCAGACTTAATTAATTTAGGTCAAACTGGTTTATGAAACTTCTGTCCCAGACCCCTTCCTGGTTCAAGATAAATCAAAGTCACCCAGTATGCTTTGCAGCCCTGGGCTGGGCTGTGCTGTCTGCTCCAGAGACCAGAGCTGGCCTCACCCCTCTGCTCCCTAGCTGGAGCAGTGAGAGCTGGCTCACTGGCTGGCTAATTGCCCCCCACTAGGCAAACCCCAGCTGGGGTCTAGGGCCAGGGATGGGGGTTAAACTCACCTTATCCTGAGTACAGAGCTGCCCTGCCCTCCTGGCTTACTTAGTGCTGGCTACGACTGTGGACTACAAATCCCAGAGGCACCTGGAAGCAGGAAGAGAAAGTGATGATAAGCAACCCTGTGGAGTCCTGCTGCAGTAATTGTGGGCTGCAAATCCTAGAGACCTCAGGGGCAGCACACAGCCCATGCTGACTAACAGTGCCAGAGAGCTGTGCTTTAGTGCCTTTCCCCCAGCTTCTGGCTTGAGGCACTACAGGTATGTGGCTGAATTTCCTGAACCAAAACTGAATGTCTGTTCATTTGCTTATTGGATCAATCT